ATTGATAAGATTGATAAACAAAACCTTTTTCTTCCGTACCACTGAATTTGTTCCTTTTTTTTTTTTTTTTTTTTACCATTGATTTCTAAAAAAAAAAAAAATAAATAAATTAAAAATTATTTAATATAAGAAAAATGTCTACCACCGAATTTATTACTCAAGAACAATTAGCTTTTGATTATGAAGTAACAGAAGTTAAAAACTGGTGGAATAGTGAACGGTTTCGTCTCGTAAAACGTCCATATACAGCCGAACAGATAGTTTCCAAACGAGGTCTTCTTAAACAACAATATGCTTCTGATACTCAATCTAAAAAACTTTGGGCATTATTAAAAAATCATCAGAGGAATAAGACGGCTTCTCATACTTTTGGAGCTTTGGATCCTATTCAAGTAACACAAATGGCTAAATATCTTGAAACAGTTTATGTTTCGGGTTGGCAATGTTCTTCGACGGCTTCAACCACAAATGAACCGGGACCAGATCTTGCAGATTATCCTATGGATACTGTTCCCAAAAAAGTTGAACACTTATTTTTTGCTCAATTATTTCATGATCGAAAACAACGTGAAGCAAGATTTAGTGTTTCAAAAGAGGCTAGAGCAAAAATTCCATTTGTTGATTATTTAAGACCAATTATTGCGGATGCTGATACAGGACATGGAGGTATCACTGCCACATTAAAGCTTAGCAAAATGTTTGTTGAACGTGGCGCTGCAGGAAGTAAATATTATAACCTTCTAACATTTTTATAATATCATTTATACCATTTTTAAATAATAAGAATAAATAATAACAATAAAAATTTTTAATAATAAAATTTTTTATTTATCTTAGTACACGTTGAAGACCAAGCGCCAGGTACAAAGAAATGTGGACATATGGCGGGCAAAGTTTTAGTTCCTATTTCCGAGCATATTAATCGATTAATTGCCATTCGTGTTCAATTTGATATTATGGGAGTTGAAAATTTAATTGTGGCACGATCTGATTCCGAAGCCGCAACATTAATCTCTTCTAACATTGACAGCCGTGATCATCCATTCATTATTGGGGTGACAAATCCTGCAAGTATTAATCCATTAGTAGAAGTTTTAGATCAAGCTCAAGCGAAAAATCTGACTGGTGATGAACTTTCAAAAATTGAAGAAGATTGGATGAAAGGGGCTAATTTAAAAACTTATCCTCAAGCTGTGTCTGATGTAATTAAAAATTCCAATAAATCAAATAAGGAACAACTTTTAAGAGAATGGGACAATAAAGCAAATAGTTTATCACATAAAGATGCTAAAAAACTTGCAAAATCATTGGGATTTGAAATATTTTTCGATTGGGATTTGCCACGTACTCGAGAAGGATATTATCGATACCAAGGTGGAACTAAATGTGCTATCAATCGTGCGGTTGCATTTGCACCTTACGCCGATCTTTTATGGATGGTAAATATTTTCTTAAATTATATTAATATGATTTATTTTTTATATTAATATATATATGTATATATATATATATATATATTAGGAAACGAAAAGTCCAATTTATGAACAAGCCAAAGAATTTTCTGAAGGAGTATTATCAAAACATCCGGAAGTTTTGTTGGCTTATAATTTATCTCCAAGTTTCAATTGGGATGCTGGTAATAATTAATATATTTATTAATTTTTTTTTGTTTAATAATAACAATAATTTTTAATAACAATAATTTTTAATAATAATAATAATTTTTAATAATAATAATAATTTTTAATAATAATAATAATTACTTTCTTTTGACAATAATTAGCTGGTATGAATGACCAACAAATTCGTGACTTTATTTGGGCTTTAGGTAAACTTGGATTTGTGTGGCAATTCGTCACTTTGGGTGGTTTCCATTCTAATGCTTTGATAATTGGTAAGTAAATAAATAAAAATAATAATATTCATAAATATTCATAACATCATTATTATTATATTTTATAATATTTCTGATTAATTCTTAAATTTTAATTTTAATTTTAGATGTATTTTCCCGTGATTATGCTAAAGATGGTATGTTGGCTTACGTTAAAGATATCCAACGTAAAGAGCGTGATAATAATGTTGAAACATTACATCATCAAACTTGGTCTGGTGCTAATTATTATGATTCTCTGAGTAAGTAAAAAAATAAAATAAAAAAATGTGGTCTATTTTTATTTCATTTTATTTATTTATTTTTATATTAATATTTTAAATATTTATTTGTTTTTATAGTTAAAACCGTACAAGGAGGTATCGCTTCAACTGCGGCTATGGGTAAAGGAGTAACTGAAACTCAATTCAAGAAGTAAAAATATATAAAAGTAAATATAATATGTACACATATAATACACATTATTTTTAGATTTAACAAATTTTTATATTTTTACATTTTATATTTTCATAAATTTTTTTTGGGGGGGGGGAAATTAGATAGATATATTTTTTATTATTTATTATTTATTTATTTAACGAATAACAAAAAATAAATACACGTGACCTTTACTAGTCATCTATTGCCACGTTTTTTACACGAGTTGGTAAAAAAAAACGATAAAATCACTTTTAAATCATATTAAAACAGGGATAAAAATTATTTTTGATTTACCCAAAAAAAAAGGATGCAAAGATGCAGTACGTATACGATGAACAAGGAGTAACTTTCAATTACTTTCTCATAACCTTTTTGGCAATTTTTCTCATACCTACAACGATTTCGTTATTTTCCAAGTCAAAGGGTAATTAGAATAACAATAATAATAATAATAATAATAATAATGGAAATTATCAATTAATTAAATTATAATAATAATTCTTGATTAAATCTGATCAAATCTTTTAATAGAAACAAACAAAATAAATAAACTCAATTGTTCCTGTGAACCTTGTCAGGATAAAGTAAAATGGATAGAATCACAAAAAAGTGGAAAATTACTTGATCGTATTAATAAAAAGTAATTAAAACATTATATCAATGATTGTCATTATCTACCTTTCAACTTAACTTTCAACGTAAAGGGATTTATTATAATAATTATAATTAATTATAATTTAGGGCGATCGCAGTGGTTATTGGATGGATATTTTTTGCATATTTAGCTTATAAAATATCTACAGTTAAAATTAATGTAGAAATATGGGATCCATATGAAGTATTAGGAATTAGCGAGGTATTATATATATTTTATTACATAGTTTATCATATATCATATAGTTCATCATATATTATATATAATTTATGAATGGTATAGTTTATGATAACTTATTATTTATTATATTTTATAGGGTACAGAAATGGCAGTTATAAAAAAACAATTTAAGGAACTCAGTAGAATATGGCATCCAGATAAAGCACCAACAGGAAAAGAAATTGAATATGAAGAAAAATTTATTGATTTTACAAAGGCTTATAAAGTGTAAGAATATTTATATATACATTATAATATTTATTATATAAAAGAAATATTTTTTAGATCTTAATAAATAAATAAATAAATAAATAATTAATTAATTTTTTTTTCATAGACTTACTGATGAGGATACTCGAAAGAATTATGAAGAATGGGGACATCCGGATGGTAAACAAGGTAAAATTGATAATAAAATGACTGATTAAATTATTATCAGTAATAATAAAAATTAATGATTGATTTAAATTATTAATAAATAATATAAATTTATATAAATTTATATATATATATTTATATATTTATAGCATATTCTTTGGGTATTGCTTTACCTACTTGGTTGGTAGAAGCTAAAAATAGTCCATTCGTACTTGGTGTTTATGGAATTGCTTTTGGATTATTATTACCTTTCCTTGTGGTAATTATTATTATTATCACAATTATTAATATTTAATTCAATTATCATAATTATTATCACAATTATTAAAATTAAATAAATTATTATTATTAGGGAAAATGGTGGTACAGTTCTAATAATTATACTAAAGATGGAATTAGAACTCATACGATGGAATTATATTTTAAAGAATTAAAAGATTCATCTAGTATAAAACAAATATTAGAATTACTTTCTGCTTCAATTGAATATTTGGAATTGGTTGAACAACGACCTTCAGATCATACAAGATTATTGCCAGTGATTAATTCTATTAAAGAAAATTTGGATAAAAGATTCGGTGAAAAATATGAAAAAAGCAAAAGGGTAATTTTATTATTTAATTATTTATTATTTATTATTTAATTATTTATTATTTATTATGATTTATTTATTAATTATTTTTAAATAAATATATATATATATATAAATTATCATATAAATTATTATATAAATTATTATATAAATTATTATATAAATTATTATATAAATTATCATTTAAATAGTATACATCACCTTATTGTCAAAAAGCAAATGCTATGATATATGCTCATTTATTAAGAATAGATATTGATGATAAATTGTTGATTAAAGGTAAGAATTTATTATCAATTATGTGACTATATGAACATTAATTATTATCTCAACAATTATAATCACCAATTACATTTACTTACACTTATCAATTATTATAATAGATAAATATTTTATTATTGAACGTGCAATTCATCTTATTAATGGAATTCTTGAGATCGCATTAGCACATAATTGGTTAAAAACAAGTATTCGTTGTATGGAAGTTTCTCAATTATTAGTACAAGCTATGTGGATTCACGATAATCAATTTGTTCAATTACCTTATGTGACTAATGATGTATTAAAATCTATGAGAATAAAAAAGAAAGTTATAAGAAATATTGCACAGTTTAGAGAATTGAATGATGATGAAAGGAGGTTTATATTTAATTTATTTATATTATTTATTCTAATTTATTTATTCCATTTATTTATTCCCAATTTATTTATTCCAATTTATTCAATTTATTCTAATTTATTCAATTTATTCTAATTTATTCAATTTATTCTAATTTATTCAATTTATTCTAATTCATTGAAGGAGCGCATTAAAACTTTCGAATCCGTTAGAATATGATTCTATTATGCGTGTTGCTGAATTATATCCTATCATACGACTTGAGGATGCATATTTTAAAGGTAATTATTATTAAATTATTAATTAAAATTTCACTATAAAGAAAATAATAATATTTTCTAATTTATTAATTTAATTTTTTATTTATTTATTTGACAAGTTCCGGGATATGATATCATTGCGACCGGATCAATTGTTACTTTATTAATCAAAGTCAAAATTATCGATCCTTCATCCAAAAATTCCGATGATAATAATAATTTCAAAGATAAGAAATCAAGCGATAAAATAATAAGAAAGAAGAATAAGAATAATAATAATAATAATAATAATAATAATAACAATAACAATAACAATAACAATAACAATGACAATACCAATAATAATGATAATACTAGTAATAATAATGATGATAATAATAATAATGGTGAAGAAGATGTTGATGATGAAAAAGGTGATTATCTTGATAGCGAAGATGAATTATTATATAATAATAGTAAAAAGAAAAAGAACACAACTAATGAAGAATCAAGTCCACTTGTACATGCTCCTTATTTATCAAAAGATAAAAAACCTTATTGGTGGATTTTTATGGCTGATGATAAAAAAGATAGAGTTTTAACTGAACCTATTAAAATTAGTGATATCGTGGTCACGTCTACAAAAATAGTTAAATTTCAATTTCAAGCTCCCCCCGAACCCGGATTTTATTCTTATGTTGTTTATATCATGAATGATTCTTACGTTGGAACTGATATTAGAAAAGATTTGAAGGTATTTTATCATTTATTATTTTATTTTATTTTATTTTTTTTATTTATTTATTATTCTTTTATTATTATTTTATTATTGTTTTATTATTCTATTATTAATTACATTATCAATTACATTAATTTATTATTCTATTATAAATTACATTAATTTATTATTAATTATTATAATTTATTATTATTATAATTTATTATTAATTATTATAACTATTATTAATTATTATAATTTATTACAGCTTGTTGTAAAAGATTCATCAGCACTTCCACCGGATGAAGATATTGATGATGAAATATCAGAACCTGAAGAAGATTCGATTGCTGGTCAAATGAAATTAATGAGAGAACAAGGATTTGCTGCCTCCTTAGTAGGTGGTAATGATAAGAAATCTGATAAGAAAGATAAGAAAGATAAAAAGAAAAAATCGAAGAATGATAATGAGGATGATAATAGTAGTAGTGATGATAGTAGTGATGATGATGATGATTCTCACTTTTTTACTTGTTGTTAGGAAAATTTTTTTCTTAACTGCTTATTTTATTATTTTTTATTGTTATTTTATTATTTGAGCGCCCTTAATCTGTACCCCTGGTTCAGGGTGAAATTCATTAACCTTGGGGTTCAGGCGAATTATCCTAGACCCATCCTTTTTAGTAATAAAAATTTCCAAAATTAGGGGAATCGCGTTGTTTATGATATTTATTAGTAGTATTACTTGGGAGTCTTATAGTTTATTTTTTTTATTTTTATTTTCTATTTTCTAGAAATAAATATAACTTTAAATTTTTAGATTGAAAAAAAATAAAAAAAAATAAAACTAATACTTGAATAAATATAATAAATGTATACTATACTGTAGAAAAAAAGTACATTTGTAAATCAGCTTAGCAAAAATCAATATTTAAGCAATACAATAATTATTTTAATACAATTTACTAGTATGTATATTCATAATTTTATTTAATACTTAATAAAATCAATGCAAGGAATATAATTTAGACAATTATAAAAATAATTAAGGCTCTAGATCAGCTTCGAAGTACCCATAATATTTTTATTAAATTTAATTCCCAATCAACCAAACTATATAGCCTTATATTTTGTCCCATTCATAAATATAATTAAATATATAGCTTAGAAATAAATAAAATTAAATTTTTTAGTGCAAAGAATATATATTATTTTTTCGTCCGCATCATCCACGAACCTGATTATTAATAATGTAAACTTTTTGTCTATATTATTATTATTATTATTAATTTACCGAGTTACCAAGAACTTACATGAGCCTATTCTTAATTTATATAAACTATAGATATTTATAGAATACAGTAAATAACATAGATACAGTTAACCCTCGATGAATATTGATGCTACAAAAATGTAATACATATGAAAATGTAATTCAGAACCAGGGCTTTCGATTTACCTTAGGAGCATCTTAGTAGAAAATCACTTCATGTCACTTAATTTCAACTTCAAAATTTTCCTGATGTAATTATTTAATTAAAATTTTAATAATTTTATTTTTATTTTAGGCACGATACCAAAAATTATTTTTATACAATCGTGTTAAAGCACTTGGAACCTGTTGAAATTTATATTAAAAAATGTATTAAATATGTTGCTTGTCCATGGAATAATGTTAATGAATCTACCATTAAAAATTGTTGGCAAAAGACAGGTATTTTACCTGAAGTAGATACAGATGAATTTAATTTGGATTATACTGTAGATGAAATGGGACATAGGTGAAATTACAGTAAATAATACAAATGAGATTCAAGTATTAATTGATAGACTAAATCTTGAAGATCCTTTTAGTGCTAATGAATTTATTCATTATGATGATACAGAAGTTATTATAGAAATAAGAACTAATGATGAAATTCTAGCTACAGTTCTTCCTAATAAAGAAGATGAAACAAAAGAAATAGAAGAAAATCCAGATTCTTTGTCAATTATTACTCATAATGAAGCTATTGAATTATATGATAAAATAATTTTATATTTAGAACAACAGGAGGAAAGTTTTGATACAACAAAAGAAATCAAATATGTAAAAAAATTAAAAAAAGAAGCTATAAGACAACACTTTTTTTCAATGACACAAAGTAATCTTGATAGTTTTATTGAAGATATTTCTTAAAAGTATTACATATAGTATATAAATAGTATAAATAGTATATAATTTCGATTTTATTAATAAAATATATAACGAATTTCTTAAAAATATTGCGTTATACGTTATACCAGATTTTTATAAATTTTCGTTGTACCATTAACGAATTTTTTTATAACGAAGGCCCAGACACTAGATTCGTTGTATCGAGGGTTGACTGTAATGATAAATTAAGATGAAATATTTCTATAAGTGATGTCATGTGAATAATATAAATAATAGCCAATAATAATTTTTTTTCAGATATCACATATGTGATGTAAAAGAATAAATAAATATTCTAAAATTTTTTTTATCTCATCGAGTCATCGAGATGAATTGATTGATCTGCAAAATAAATTGAGTTATATTTCTAATATGTATAATATCGATAGCTTATTTAAGTCAGCCACCTATCAGGTTTATATTTTAAAGGTTAAATTAATGCCATTTTTTAATATATCGACAATACGACAATAACGACAATAATAAAAAAAAAAAAAAACTTTTTGATGATGATATTGTAGTCAATGATTATTATTGTTATATCCATTATAGTGAATTTCTTAATAAATATTTAAAATTTAGTACAAAAATGGTAAAAGCTCATTGGAACAACCTTCATCTCATAAAGTAGTTTTGGTTAACAAAAGCTGAATAATTCATTGTATCACATTTCTTTTTTAAATAATAATTTATACAAATACGTATATAACACGAAACATGAAGTGAAATTTTATTCATTCGCAAAACAAACGAAGTTAGAGAATGTAGCTACACCAAAAGAAACGAATACCATGAATTAAATGATATAGAATTGAATTACATAATGATAAAAGTTGAAGAAGAAAGTAATATTAGAAATGAAACTAATAATAATGAAGTTGAGTATTCAAGCTTTGATGGAAATATTTCCGTTGCTTAATTATTATTAGAATAATAGATGATTACGTAATAGAAGGAGAATAAAATGTTATACTAGACAGTTATTTCTCGAAAAATAAAGAGAATAAAGTTTATCATTAACTATTTTATTCGCTAACTTGGTAAAGAAACTCAACGCACTAGGCTTTTTGTTAATTTTTGTTAAAGTCACGTCGCGTAAGATAAATTTCATATCTTTCATTTCTTTTGTCTGTCAAATTTTCTCTTTGTGATGTAGCAACAACATTTACACAAAAAAACATATAATAAAACATATAATAAAACGTATATAAATTAATAAAGAAATTTTTCATATATATTAATAGAATTAACTTTATGATATAAACCCAACGTTTTAAAATAAACAATTATACATGAAGAGATAAAATTTTAAAAATAATACAATACAATTAATAACAATTGTGTAATTTCTAGAACTATAATAAATTGCAAAGTAAATTACTACGATTAAATTATTTTTAGAAAAATTTTATCAACATTTAATCATCGTGGGTAGCAGCATTAACAATAGCATCCTTAGTTACAGTTTCAACTTTGTTCTTCCAACCTTTCAATTTATCGTCAATATCACCTTGATAAGTTCTTAAAGCGGGTCTCAAGAATTTAGTGTAAACTGTTTGAGCTCCTTTGAAAGATGGCAAGAAGAGCCTAAATTATTTTTATCAAAATTTTAGCATTTTCTTTTTTTTTAAAAATTTAGTTATTTAATTAATTAATTAGAAAATTATTAAAATTTAAATTTACCAAAGGAAAAAGATTGTCTTGACGGTATAATAGAAGGGCATCCAATAAAGGATGAGATCCGAAAAGAATTCTATCAGGCTAACAAAACCAAATACGGTCCTGAAAAAATAATATTCATTAAAAAAAAAAATGTTAATTAACTATTCATAATTTTCATTATAGAATAAGTTAAATTCATACCAGTATGTTAACCATTGAGTATCGTCAATATTATCACTTGTCTCAAGAGCTTTGAAAGAAGCATAAGCTAAGCGTATAAATTATCAAGTAATTTAAAAGTTACTTGTTTGAACGAAAAGAAGACAAAAGAATTCTGTTTTTTTTTGATTTTATAATTATTAATTTTTTGATACCTGGATAGACCCAACCAATAACGTTGGAAAGCAATTGTCCTCCAATATTAAAAAAGATCAATGCAAATACAAGGCCGACAACAGAAGCAGCCATATAGGTCTTTGGAATACCAGTATGTTGTTCCAGTTTCATTATCTGCGGATATTTTGCGAGCTCTTTATCAGCTTGAGCATTATAGTACTTCAATTTAGTTTGAACAGCCTCCATTTTATTTTATTTTAAAATAAAAATATTTATCAGTCGTAAAAAATAAAAAAATCGTTATGAAAAAGAAATTTTTACAAGAAAAAAAAATTTTTACAAAAAAAAAATTTTTAAAAATAAAAAAAAAAAGTGGACGAGTAAACTTTTTGTTAAGAGAAGATACACATATATATATTATTACCACCAGTCGATTATTGTCATACATTTAGATTGCCAACCTTAATTTACATAATTCCCACCAAAAATAACTACGTTTTCAAACCCAATCATAGATTCGCTAATAAAATCCTTTCCATATTCATTTAATTAACTTCTCCTTATCGTTTTATCTTTTCTTTGTTTGTTTTAGGGAACACATGCAAATCAAAGGCACACAGACTTGTCAAAAATCAATTGGACATACCATAGTACGCAAAAAAATGCTAACACCCAAGATATCTGTCTATCCACGTGATATTAACGAATGCGTTCTCATTTCCACGATTAATTTTCACAATGGACAATTTGGTTTCGATTATTTCTTTAAGAAGACCCCAGTAGATGAATGGAAATCTTTTATGAATATTGGAGAAACAATAATCTATCTTTAGAAAAATCTATTAACAGTAATGTAAAAAAAAAAGTGATATAAAATCTACAAGAATGGTATTGAATACGTGATTTGTCAATCGTAATATCACCAGTTGTGAAAGTCATGATATCTTGATTAATAGATTAAAGAAACTTCTACTTAAAATTTTTCCGATCACTTGTCAAATTATGAACCAATCAAATTCGAAAGTGACACGGGATACAGGGTATAGGAAAAGAAGGGTGCTCATTACAAAAATACCTGATCACACCTTTTAAAAAATAGATATAAATATAATTTCTTTTTAGTTGGTTCCTTTCTTCTCGGGAAATTATTTCCTATTAAAAAAAAAAAATGAGTTCCTTTTCAGACTCGTTCTCTAATTTTTCTACGCCGACAAATTCATTGCCGGCAGAACTTTCCAACCGGGACTCTACCTCTTTAATTTTTGATGATTCCTTGAGTCTTGAACAACTTGCCTGCCCAATATGTAATGAAACATCAATCAACCTTTTTCAACTTAACCAACACCTTGACGATGCTCATACAGATGCAGCTATTGATCAAAGGGATAAAATTATTAAATGGTTTAAAAATGCTCAATCAACTCTTATGAAACCACTTTCAAAAACCAAAAATATTTCAACACAAATGTCACAAATGGCTTTACATGTTTTTAATGATATTGACGCGAACTGGTTAGATCAACAATCCGAAAATGTAACAAGAGAGCTTTGGCAAAAAGAAGGAGAGAATGATCATTGTTCAAATTCTTCTTGTAATAAAGGACTTAATTTGAAAAATGGCAAGAATAACTGCCGAAAGTAGATATAAACCGTTAATATTATTCTTTTGCTTTATTTTTCATTGTGTGCATAAATTCAAATTACAATTAAAATTATTATAATTAAAAATATTTAATTTATAATTCAAATATCATAGATGTGGTAAACTCTTTTGTGAAACACATTGTCGGTATTCAATGAAATTGGATAAACAAGCATTACATGATCCTGATAATGGTTATTGGTGTAGAGTATGTGAAGATTGCTTTAAATCTCGAGATGGTTATTTTGATACAGAAGGTAAATAATTCAATTAATTTCAATTAAATAATTTACTATAATTGAAATAATTTCAAGGAAATATTAATATTTATATAATATAAATAATATATTTCGATAATAAAAATATTAAAAAAATAAATTGTTAGGTGTGATAAGAAGTCACACTTCAACATTTATTAAAAGTCGAACGAAAGGAATTGAAAGAGCACATTTGGAAGGTAATAGATTAGAAAAGCGATTAGAAAAGGTAAGTTAATATTATCATTGTTATAATAATATTATTGTTGTTATTATTGGTTGTTATTATAATTACCCGCTTTTTTTTTTACATTTTAGCTGGCAAAAGCCTATACCGATCCGATTAAGCCAGCTAATAATACACAAGGCGGATTAACACCTCCTTTGACTTTGAAACATCGAAGGAGAGGTAAATGATTAATTTAATTTAATTTAATTTAATTTAATTTAATTAGTTACTTTTAATCACTTTTTTTTTTTTTTTAATTTAATTAATTTATTTTATTTATTTATTATTTTTGATTTAGTTTCAGAGCAATTAATTGTCAAATGGGAGGATGATGCATCAGTAACAAATTGCCCTTTGTGTCGGTATGTGAACATTTTGTTAATAATTTTTTTTATATATGTAAAATTAATATCATTACAACGTGATCATAATTTAATCACTCAGAACCTCTTTTGGCAAGATAACAAATCGTAAACATCATTGTCGTCTTTGTGGACGAGTTGTTTGTGAAAAGTGCTCTTCAAAAATTTCTTTAAATTTGAATAATAGTTATTCAGGTATTTTTAAATATTTTATTATATTATTATAATGTTTTACCAGTTTATACAAATAATAATTATATGTTATTTAAACTATAGAAACGACAGAACAAGACACTATCGGTGAAATTAGATCGTGTAAAAAATGTCGTAATGCAATTTTTAGGTAAAATAAAGAATTAGAAAATAAAAATAAGAAATAATAATAAGATAATAATAATTAAAAAAAAAAAATTTTTTTTTTTTTTATAAAAAAGGAGAAAAGAGTATAGTGAAGAAATTGCCAAGACACCACCTGTCGTTACGTTTTATCAGGTTATTATATTATTAAAATTTTATTAATTATTATTAAATTATTTCTATTATTTTTTTATAACAAGTGATCTCAGATTAATTATGAACTTTTTAATTGATTTATTTATTGATTTATAATAACAGAAATTAATGAAATTAAAATCCGCAATCGATTCCACGTTACCTAAATTCCAAGATATGCTTGTTATGTTAAAGTTACATATTATTTTCATTTAATATTTTCATATAAATTTATTTTTATATATTATATCTATATATATATTTTATAATTAATTATTTTATTTATGTATGTTATTTTTATTTTATTTTGTAGAAGTCAAGAAATAGTTAATCAAACTCATGCAGATTATCAACTCGCAGCACGTACTCGTAAAGAATTATTGGAAAATTTTGCACAATTTGATAAGATTAGTAAAAAAATAAATAGTTTATCTGCCAAAACGGAATCAGAAAAACGTTTTCAAGCTAATATTCATTTAGCGGCCAATCAATATTTACATCAAAATATGTTACCACTTTCAGTACTTCCTAAACTTTTTAAGAAAGATAATAAAGATGATGATGATGAAAATGGTGAAGATGAAAATGACGAATCTTCTTCTCCTGAATTTATTTCATTGACATCTACCATCACCACAAATGGTCGTAGTAATAATATTAATGGTCATATTAATGGTCATAGTAATGGTCGTAGTAATGATAATATTTATGGTCGTAATAATGGTCATAATAGCAATGGTCGTAATAGTAGTGATAATATTATTATTAATCATAGTCATAATAATAATAATAATGATAATGATAATAATAATAATAATAATAATAGAAATCGTACCATTTCCTCATCATCATCGTCGACGAAATCGACAAAAGCAGAAGAAATAGTAGAAGATTTAAGACAACAATTAATAGTACTTTTGGAACAAGAGGAAATAGTTCAAGGATATATTCATGTAGCTACTAGAAAACGTAAATTTGATGATGTAAAAACTTTAAAAACTTCATTAGATGAACTAAGATTAGAAATTGATAAAAAAAAAAAAGAACTTGGCGATTTATAATCGTGAATTTTTACGTGAATTTTTACATACGTGAATCACTTGAATTATTGTAGTGGATTTTTAGTGGATTTATGAATGAACGAATGAATGAATGGATTTATGAATGAATGAATGAATGAATGAATGAATGAATGAATGAATGAATGTATGGATTTATGATGAATCGTTGCTGTATATATTTTAAAACTTATTCTGAATCAAAGAAAAAAAAATATCCAAAAAATATCGTCGCATATTTATTGGAATCAATGTATTATTTTGGTGTGTGTATTATTGTTATTATTTTTTTTATTTTTTTTTTGAGTACAAAAAAAAAAAGAAAGAAATTAAAGAGAAACAACAAAAATGTTTCTCTCGGAAAAGATTCGCTTCGCATTGGGAATTTATATATTATTAACAGGAATAATACTTTTTATATATATATATAATTATTTATTATGTTATATTTGTATTAATAATTTTTATTTTATTTTGATTACCAAATATCAAAATTAACAAATTTTTAATTTACAGAATTATTATTCGATACTGCGGTTTTCGCGTTTTTTTTTTCATCTTGTATTTCTTTATCATTTTCATCTTATATTTTCGTTCGTTAATAATCGGGAAAATTAATAATAATAATTTATGATTAGAGAACATTCAATCTAAGATCATCCATCTTTTGTACATAAAAAAAAAAATTAATTTAATTATTCTCCCAATTTTTTTTTTTACATAACAAGATTTAAGATTTGTATACTTTATTATATACTTTTATTTTATTTTATACTTTCTTATTATTATGGTTAATTATTAAGATTTTTTAAATTTTCATTAAATTTTACGGTGTATATATATCAGATATATATATATATATATATATATATATGTATGATTATTTGTATATTTTTTTATGAACTATGTACATAATGATAATTAGAGAGAATTAATAAATCACATATTTTTATGAATTCACATCTTTCACCTTTTTATATAATGTTAACTTTGTCTGCGAGAGATTTTCTGCAATGATTAATTAATTAAATATTTAATTAAATATTTAATTGGGTATTGAATGCACGTGTCGTCCTCTTTGTATAACCAAAAATGTAAAAATCATTTTACATATGATTTTATTAACTTGAAAGATCGCGAACTAGATTTGTGGGGTATCCTTTATAATATATTATTTTTACTAATACACTTAAAATTTTCTGATCATCATTGCATTTTCGCTTTCAATAAAAAAAGGAAACATTCGTTTGTGTCACCGTATACATTGAGTGATCATTGTAAATGTTTGTTACATATTTTATATCATTTAAGCACTACTGCATTGCATTATATTGCATTATCTTTTTGCAATCTTTAAATTATTTTATATATTTTCACTTTTTTCCCTTTTCCCAAGTCAGAAATAAATTATAATAGCCAAATAAACAAAAAATTTCAAAATAAAATAAAGAACGAAAGAAAGAAAGGAAAATAATTTATGGAAAGCATTACACATTTTATCAATAATCCCGAACATCATGATGTACTTGCAATCATTAAAGGGTTCCGTAACGGAGCAGTTTATGGTGCCAAAGTTAGATTTCCACATGCTCTAGTTATGACTTTTTTATTTCGAAACGAAAGGTCTGCTATCACATAAAAATATAAATATCATTTTAAAGAAAAATTGAATGATTTTCGATTATTTTTTATTTTTGGTATTTAGTACGTGTTTTTGGTTTTTTTTTTTTTCTTCCGATAATAAAATTAAAAAAAATTTTTTTTTTCTTTTTTTTTTTGCAAAAAATCAAGTTTTGGTTAATCATTTTTGTTTAATTTTTTTTATTCATTTTAGTTTTAAAGACAAAATAAACTTTATTATTGATGCGACAAAGACTCACTCTAAGAATTTAGCATTCTTTGTAACAATATACAAAACCTTGATGTATTTACAAAAAAAAATTAATGGTGGTAAAGAACAAAATGCACATTCATTTATAGCTGGGCTAATTGGTGGATATTTTGTTTTTGGCGAGAATAATAATATTAATCAACAGGTAATAATAATAATAATAACATTAATAATAATAATAACATTAATAATAATATAATATTAAAAAAAAAAAATCAAAAATCAAAAAAAAACCAACTTAATTGATTGATTAATTAATTATTAGATTGTGCTTTACGTTTTTGCTCGAATTATGATTGGTTTGGCTAAACTTCCAGTGGCACGTGGGACAATAGAAGAACCAAAGCATACCTTTTCAATATTCGCTGCTGTGGTGTGGGGTATTGTTATGTGGCTCTTCCGTCATGAACGTGACACTTTACAACCATCATTACAATCTTCTATGCAATATTTGTATTTAGATTCAGATCATTGGTATGCCCTCAAGAATTTCCTATGGCATAATAAATAAATAATATAAACGACACAATAATTTTACAACTCAATTAATTTGGACATAATTTACAAAATAATTTGGTATTTTAAAAAAAAATAATAATAAATTTGTGAAATGTAGAAATGTATTTGATTTTTTATTTATTTATTTATTAATTTCATGTTTATTTTTAACACGTAATAAAAGAATTTTTGGAATCATTAATTTAATAAATACAAAATAATATTAAAAAAATAAAATGGGAAAAAAAAAAATTATTATTATTATTTTTTCTTTTTCCCTTTAAGGTTTGATTCATGAGTCTCTAATGAACGCACTAAACTCTTTGGATTTCTCTCTAATAAATCAACAATTCTTGCAGCTGGTGAAGATAATGTTTGAACCATTTCTACTCTTAATTGTTTCTTGTCAGGTAATTTAGCCACTCGTTTAATATCTTCTAAATTCAATAAACTGTTATCTAATTTACCTCCAATTAATAACATTTTCTTTTGTTTATTAAGAATATTTAAAATATTCGATACTAATTTTGGATTTTCTTCATCACTCACGTTAGATGAAATCATACAAACTGGTCCCATAATAAGAGGTGCCATATGTTTATAAATGATAGATTGTTTAATAACTGCTCCTAAAATTGATCCACGAACAGCTGTAAGATCTGCTCCAATCTTTTTAAATTGTTGTCGAATTATTGTTTGTTCTTCCACATTAAGATTATTATGTTGAGCAATAAATAATAATCTATTGAAATGAAGTTGTGCATAATATAAATTAAAGGTATAAACTGTTTGAGGTGGAAATTTATGTCCAAAATTTGTTCTTTCTTTTTGTGGTGCATGTGGTGGTGGTTCTCTTTTTGATTTTACCGTAGAACTTGATATGGTGATTGTTTTAACTGGGTTATTTGAATTATTTGTTTTAGCTGAATTATTTGTTTTAATTGAATTATTTGTTTTAACTGAATTATTTGTTTTAGCTGAGTTATTTGTTTTGGCTGAATTTTTTAAGTTATTTGGATTGTTTGGATTATTTGGATTGTTTGCTTTTGTTGAATCTATTTACAAATGAAATATACGAAATATTTATTTTTAAACTAATTTAATTTTATAACTAATTAAAAAAAAAATCAAATTTATTAATATATTAAATGTATTACATTTACATTTTGGGGAATGAATCCAAGATTTGTTCTGAAAAACACAAAGATCTAAATAGATATATAAGTAAATCATCACATATGTTATTCTATAATACAAATTATTTCTATACCTCTTGAAATATTAAATCTTTTCATGGCGAAATGAAAGTTTTTTTTTTTTTTTTTTTTTTTTTTTACATTGTTATTCCAAATTCAGAAATGAGTTACAAAAAAATTAAATCACATGTTTATATTATTGCAATTTTCATTTTTTTTAATCAAATATTTATATTTAATACAAATAATGAAAATTAAATAAAATAAATAAAAATAAAAAGTTATTAAAGTGAAAGTTCATAAATTGTTTAATAATTTTTACTAATAAAAAAAGTTTCGTGTAACTTCATTTAAGAATACGCGCAAGTTCTCTCTTTTGTTCTTCGGATAAATTTGTTGGGAATTTGATATCATACTTTATAATGAGATCTCCCTTTCTACCCACTTCTTTCGTGGGCATTCCTTCATTTGCAATTCTTTGTTCTTGACCCGGTTTTATTATTGATGTATTTGATATAGCTAATTTTCTATCATCTAACGTATTAATGGGTTTTTTAAATCCTATAAGTGCTTCAAGCAAACTTATAACCAAAGTCATACGCAGATTATCTCCGTCCCGAGTATATGTTGAATGTGGTTTTTCATCCAATATTACTACAACATCTTGTGTTTCCCCATTAGGAAGTTCATCACCAGAATTAGGGAACCGGAATTTTGATCCGGCTTTCATTCCTGGTCTTACATTGATTTCTAACATTTTATCAGCCAAAATTTGTTTACCACTAGCACCATCATACATCTTTCGCGAAACTTTAAGTTTTTTCGAAATTCCTTTATATAATTCTTCAAGTGTTAAAGGTAAATGATATGTGATCTCATTTGTCGTACCTTTAACACCACCAACACCATCACCATGTGTACGCATAAAGAATTCATTGGGTCCACCACGACTTCTTGAAAAAGATGGAAATGCTTTCATAAAGTCATCATCTTCTCCGAATAATGAACTAAATATGGAATTTGGATCCGATGGAGTAAATGAAGAAAAACCACTTGGACCTTTTAAATTAAATTAAATTAAATTAAATAAATATTAACCAATATATAGATATATATTTTTAATTTAAAGTAATAAATAAGAACGAAATATATTTAAATAAATATTATACCTCCTGTTGTACTAAAGAATGTAGTATTAGTATTACCACTAGGAAATCCAGAAAATCCGGAAAACCCTCCCGGAAAACCTCCCGGAAAACCTCCAGAAAATCCTCCACCAGTACCACTACTTGCACTAGGTGGTGGAGCGCCACCTTTCAATCCTTCTTCACCATAGGTATCATAAATTGCTTTCTTGTTCTTATCACTTAAAACCTCATAAGCTTCACTAATCTCTTTAAACTTCTTTTCAGCAGTTGCTTTATCCTTTTCATCTGTGTGTCGATCAGGATGCCATTTAAGAGCTATTTTTTATAACGAAATCCCATGGTTATATTAGTATTTAAATTTTTTATATGGGAGTAGGTAATAAAGTAAAACATAAATTATTTTTTTTCTTTATCCATTTAGTTTACCTAATTTTTTATAAGCCTTTTTAAGTTCATCATCTCCTACGCTTTTATCCACTCCAAGAATTTTATAGTAGTCTTTACCCATTATTATTTAATATATTTATAAGATTTAATGAAATGAATTGTGCTAGGAATTATTGTAAAAAGTTTTTGATGAAAAATTTTTTTTTTATACTTTTTTTGATTCACAAGAAAGAATTTACTAGAAGATTCTATAAAATTCTGGACTATTGATGGATATGAAGTTCTTACCAAAATAATTTTTGTATTGAAAATTTTTACATCAATCACAGATCGATCGCATAAACATTTATTTTATATAATTTAATCAATCAACAATTGAATTTTCGGAATAATAGTATGAATATCAGATATCAAAAGAGGATAAATAAGTGGAATTAATGTAATGTAATTAATTACCTTGACGGAGAATTATTATCCGTTGTGTAAAATTAATAATTAATAAAAAAATTTATTATATTTATTAATTAATAAATGATAGTTTTAATTTCATTCAAATTTGACATTTTATCTAAATTTTGGCGAAAAATTTATGTTAGCTTAAACCTTTTTGACAACTAAATAGTTTCATTCGTGACCTAAATACTTTTAATTTTGTCCCAGAATTTAACTCAATTAACAAAATTCAAATTTACTAAATTCCTGGCTTAATTAATTCTGAAGAGACAGACAAGGAATATAATTAATATAATTGAACAGTGAGTAAAAAAGAAAAAGCAAAAAAAAATTGGTGAAATACTTAATGGTGAAATTCACTAAAATTCAAGATTAATACTAAACATAAGAGAAAAATACTTTGAGGGTAGCTAATACTAAATTCAAAAGTATTCAAAAGTCGAATACTTTATCTATCAGAATTTTAGAATTTAATGAATTTAATAATATGTAGTGATGATTTTGATGACATCACATCACACATCAACACAATCACACACCACTGTGGCGATTAGTGAAAAAAAAAAATAAAATCTCGATTACGATAAAAAAAAAATGATTTAGATATAACTCATTATTTTTTAAAGAAAAAGAAATAATAATAATAATTAATAATTAATAAGGAAGAGTATGAGTGAAGAAGTTGATTCCGATTTATGTTATAACTTAACATATTTTAAAGGTTAATTATTATTTTTTACTTAATTTTATAAAATTTGATAATTTATATGTAATGATAATGATAATATTATAATATGAATAATAATTATAATATGATAATTGTTAATTAATATATTAATATATATTTAATTCAACAATTATTATTTATAATTGTTAATAATTATTTATAGATGTAATGAAAGGATATAGAAAGATTGATGATAATATTATGTTAAGAATGAATACAACAAATACACATTCTGTAGAGAATTGTACCCAATTTTTTAAAGAATTGGCTGAAGCATATTCTAAACGAGAAAAAATTATAAATCATTGTTTAAAGGTAATTTTAATTAATTAATTATTCATTTATTTTTTTTTTTAATAACTAAATATTTTTTTCATAAATAAAATAAATATATACATATATATAATATTTTTATGATATTTTAATATATTCATAATATTTTCTTCTATTATCTTCATAACATTTATAACAATTTTTATAAATATTTATAAATATTTTCAAATAAATATTTTCATAACTATTTAATTCATTAAATATTATAAATTATTCATCTTTATTATTATTATTATATTTATGTTTAAGAGGGAAAGGGAGAGGGGAGAGATGCAGTATTAGTATTATTATTATTATTATTTCAAAAAATATTCACACATATGTGAAAAAACGATACGTTAAATATCATCATCATCAATCATATTATTATTGTATATATGTGTATTATGTTATATATATAGATTTTAGATCAAGGATTGGAGAGAAAACAAAAAGCACTAGATGAGGATCCATATGATAGTAATTTAAAGAATCAGATGTTTGTAGATGAATCCAAGGTATGAGAATAATAAACAATAATAATTAATAATAAATATAATAATAGATAATAATAATAATATAAATAATAATAATAATAATAATAATGATAATGATAATAAATTTAATTATTAATAATTATAATTTTTAATTATATTAAATAATCATGACATAATTTTTATAGAGACGAATGATTTACAATGAATATACAGTAGAAGATATTGTTCGTGACAGAAGTTTAACAGTATTTAAAAACAAATGTAGAATGTTCCATTTACCTCAAGAATTTCTAGATTTTATTAATAGAAAAAATAAATAACAAGATTTAAATTTTTCATTTAATTTATCGATTTATTATTATTAATAATAATTTATTAATTTAAAATATATATAATCTTTGCCATAGTCATGTGCCACATTTGCTAGTATGCTACGTGCATGAAGCCATGCTATATTCTATATGTTTTTGTGTGTGAAACCTATCAAATGTAGATCAATGCTCAAATGTTCTATATATCAACGTTAGGATCAACTTTTTTTTTAAAAAAGGGCAATTAACATTTTTGTCCGGAATTCTATTTTCTATAGCTAACATAGCATATTACTAATCATGGTATTAATGATTTTTAGTGTTAAAGCACGACACTTGATATCTTCCCTGAATGGTCTCTCAATATATACAAAATAAATACAATAAATACAATAAATACAATATAATAAATGTTTATAATATAATAAGAATAATTACGTATTAAAATAATCATATGATAATAAGTTTTTACTTTAAACTATCAGATGATTGTTTTAAATGAATTTTTCATTTCCTCTTTATGTCGTTAGTTTTCTATTAAGCTTTAGTATTTGTAGTAGAAGTATTTTAGTAATAATAGAAACATTTTGTTAATATTTCGTTAATCAAAAAACAAAAAAAAAAAAAAATGTGTTCACCGTCATCACTTCCTGAACATATCAATTTTATCAGAAGTCATACTGTTGGTTCCGTGGTAAACTCAAAGCAAAACATTTATAAGTTGATCGAAATACCAGTTACCGCGACTATTGAAGAAGCTTTTGATGTATTATTGGCAGAAAATATTCTTAGTGTTCCGGTTTATCGTTATTGGAGAAATAGAAAACAATATATTGCTATCGTAAATGTATTTGACTTGGTGGCTTTCGTATGTTTACAGGTTAATATTATATTAAATTATCTTTTATCTTTTTATCTTTTATACATTTAATATTATCTCATAATATATCATATTATATATATATATATATTAATTAATCTATATATTAATTAATCTATATATTAATATATAGCCGATATTCAATAAAGAAAATGAAAAAAACGAAGAAAATAAAGAAAATAATAATAGTTTTGATAGAGAATCCATATTTTTACAAAAACCAATTGGAGAATTAATTGGATTAACTTGTGAGAGTACATATCTCACAATATGTCATCCTGATGATTCACTTGAATATCTTTTGGATTTATTTACTCGAAAACAAATTCATAGAGTATTAGTTATTGAACGACAAAGAAGACGACAACGTGATAATGATAATGATAATATTGGTGGAAGAGAGATTGATTATGATTATGATAGTGATGATGGTATTGATGATGGTGAAAAAAGTAAAGAAAGACCAACTGCTATTGATGATGATGAATCTAAACCTTGTTTCGTATCTCAAACTGATGTAGTTAGATTTTTATTTCAATATAATCATATATTAGGGAAATCTTTGGATACATTAGCATCTGATGTAGCAAATAAAGCTAGTAGATTATTTGAATATTCTTCCTCCTTTTCTAATTCTACTTCTTATTTCACCACCACTTCTCCTCTTTCTCCTTCTCCTTCTCCTCCTCCTTCTTCTTCAATTAATTCTAATAATAATATCATCAATAATCGTGTTACCTTTAACATTAATAATAATAATAATAATAATCATCATCATCATCCGACGCATACAAAGGAAAGAAAAAGATCAAATAATGAATCATCCATTTCATTAATTACCATACATGATCAAGCATTAACGGCTTTTAAAAAGATACATCAAGTTGGTGTCAGTGCTGTGGCAGTAGTTAATGATGATGGCAGTTTAGTAGGTGAAGTTTCTGCCGCTGATCTTAGAGGATTAAATAGTGATAGATTAAGTGATTTAAAAAAACCTGTTATTGCTTTTTTAACTTCTTGTAAAGGTGATTTAATTAAACCATTAACTTGTCATGGAAAATTTACTCTTAGTCAAGTGATGTCTGGTATTATTCATAGTAAAACTCATAGAGCTTGGGTAGTTGATGAAGATGATATTCCAATTGGAGTTATTACTCTTTCTGATATTCTTACTATGTTTAGACCCGATGTTTTATCTTTATCTTGATTCGATTATCTTTATCTCGATTTGATTTATCTTTATCTTTGATTTGATTTATCTTTCATTTTTTATAATAATTATATCAATTTATATATATATATATATATATATATATAAATAAATGAATCATTTCTTGTATATATTTTTTATATATATGTCTATATTGTATCAAATAAAAACATTTATTAATTATATTAAATAAATAATTTTTTTATATTGTGAAAAATTTAATTTGAGTGGGCTGTGCAACTGTTTCAATTTATATTTTGTGAATGGTAAAATTGTTTCCTCGAGAAACGGTTGGTTTTCTGTTACAGTATTATAGATTAAAATTGGAAGATCATAGAACTCTAATTTATTTGCGGCAGAAAATCGAAACAAAACCTTTTGTAAAAAATTATATATTGAAGTTCTTTTAACAACATAAAATTATCAAGTATTATCATCTACTTTAATAAATGTATCTGTTCTCTAGCTCTGTAAGTCTTGCGGGCTCGCGACCTAGTTCAAAAAAATGGTCCCAGTGGGATGCCGAAATTGCCATCATGTGCCGGATTTTGAAGAAATCATAAGGGTTCTTTACCAGATATATTGACGCCTATAGTTGGCACCTTAATTGTTTTTGCATTTTCTGAAATATAATTGCTGAAAATAATTTCGGCTGCCGTAATTATTTTTATATGACGAAATTAATTCGCCGTCTACGAAATTGTAGAATTACATTTTTTTTTTGACTTCGCTCGCGATTTACGAAACATGGAGCGATTTTCTTTTAAGGTTATTTCTATGATAGATAGAAAACCTTGTTTTTGGCTACAAGATGGCATGTGTTTAATCTCCGTAGTGACGAAATTCATCGAGTTTTTACAGTTAAATCTGTGAAAATCTCCATTATGTTTGACTCAACCAATGTTACAGAGATTAAATGCGTACCATCTTATAGCCAAGAATAAGGTTTTTCTATCTATCAAAGAAATAACCTTAGTAGAAAATCGCTCCATGTTTCGTAAATCGCGAGTGAAGTCAAAAAAAAATGTAATTTTACCCACAAAAATCTTTTGTAGATGGTGAATTATAAAAAATGCCGGTGCCCGAAATTATTTTCGGCATTTTCGAGATTTTTTAAAAGGTATGCCGAAAATATTTCGGCATTTCGGGCATATTATCAATCAGTCATGGTTAAATGATTCGCAATATCTGATTTTGATCTTTTTGACGAACCGTCGGTAACCGAAATTTTGTAGTACACCTAACCAAATTTGTATTATATGTTGTATACTCTCCATTCAGGTTTGCATTTACAAATTTTTACCATTTTCGTATAATTATTTAAATTGTGGTAAAAATTTAATCATCCGATTTCTCTTTTTTAGTTTTTTTTTTTTCCTTGACGATTTTATTTTATTTTTTTCTCAAGAAAAAAAAGATATTCAATTTTAAATTAATTAATTCATTATCAAAATGTCCATTTCTAAAGTTCACGCACGTCAAATTTTCGATTCCCGTGGTAATCCAACTGTTGAAGTTGACCTTACCACTGAAAAAGGTAATCATTGTTTGTAATGTTTTATTACGTATAATAATGTCTCGTGAAATCTTTAAAACGTTTTATATATATATATATATATATATATATATATATAAAACATGTTTAAATTATATGTATGAAATATACGCAATTTGAATGTTCAAAACTCACACGAAATTATTAAAAATTTTAAATTATTTCATTTAGGAGTATTTCGTGCAGCAGTTCCTTCTGGAGCATCTACTGGAATTCACGAAGCTTTGGAATTACGTGACGGAATCAAGGCTGATTATGTTGGAAAAGGTAATAAAAATTAAATAGTAAATTAAACAAAAAAAAAAAAAAAAAACTTTAATACGAATTAAATCTTTATTAGGCGTCTCGAAAGCTGTTTCCAATATAAACGATATAATTGCACCCAAAATCATCAAAGCACCTTTAAATGTTAAAGATCAAAAAGCAATTGATGATTTTCTTTTGAGTTTGGATGGAACCAAGAATAAATCTAATCTTGGAGCCAATGCAATTTTGGGAGTTTCACTTGCGGCAGCTAAAGCGGGTGCAGCAGAAAAAGGAATTCCACTTTATCAACACATCGCCGATCTTGCCGAAAGTAAAAAACCTTTCGTACTTCCTGTACCAGCATTTAATGTAATTAATGGAGGATCACACGCGGGTAATAAATTAGCTATGCAAGAATTTATGATCCTTCCTACTGGAGCAAATTCATTTACGGAAGCAATGAAAATGGGATCAGAAGTTTATCATACATTAAAATCAGTTATTAAAAAGAAATATGGACAAGATGCTACAAATGTAGGAGATGAAGGTGGATTTGCACCAAATATTCAAGATAATAAAGAAGGTCTTGAATTATTGGTAGAAGCTATTGAAAAAGCAGGATATAAAGGAAAAATTACGATAGGAATGGATGTAGCAGCATCAGAATTTTATAAAGAAGGGAAATATGATTTAGATTTTAAAAATCCTAATTCAGATGAAACCAAATGGATTTCAGGTCATCAATTGAGTGATTTATATAATGAATTTATTCAACAATATCCAATTGTTTCAATTGAAGATCCTTTTGATCAAGATGATTGGAGTGCTTGGAGTCATTTAACTGATAAAGTTAATATTCAAATTGTTGGTGATGATTTGACTGTTACTAATCCTGAAAGAATTCTTACGGCAGTTGAAAAGAAAGCTTGTAATGGGTTATTATTGAAAGTGAATCAAATTGGAACTGTAAGCGAATCAATTAAAGCGTATGTATTTTTATTATATTATCATTTATTTTATATTTAATTATTATTATATTTAATTATATTTAATTATTATATGAATTATTATTATATTTAATTATTATATGAATTATTATTATATTTAATTATTATATTAATTATTATTATATTAATTATTATTATATCTAATTATTATTATATCTAATTATTATTATATCTAATTATTATTATATTAATTATTATTATATCTAATTATTATTTAATTATTAGAGCTAAATTATCTCAAAATTCAGGCTGGGGAGTAATGGTATCTCATCGTTCTGGTGAAACTGAAGATACCTTTATTGCTGATCTTGTAGTAGGTCTTCGTACTGGTCAAATTAAAACTGGTGCTCCGTGTCGTTCTGAACGTTTAGCAAAATATAATCAAATTTTACGTATTGAAGAAGAATTAGGTGATAAAGCTATTTACGCTGGCGAAAATTTCAGAAATGCTCACAATTTGTAATTTTTGTAATTTATAAAATTTTATATTTATTTATTTATTTTTATCTTGGAAATATATGAGTAGAGAATAAAATTATTGGTTATTGTATTGTCAATCGCAATAAATGTAATTAAATATGATTGATCTTATATGTAATGTAATTGGTGTATACGAGATAAGAATATAATAATATCTCCATTAATTAATTAAACAGTTTTTATTATTATTTGAAATGTGGAACTATTTTTTTTTTTTTTACAAATTTGATCTGATACCAATTGATTCCAAATCTTCAATTATAAATATTTAATATTTTATTCATTATTATATTAAAATACTATATAATATTCTAATAAATAATATATTTTTTTTTACATATCTTCTACAGACCAGCTGTAAGCTTGACTGTTCATTGTAGCTCTTGCATTTATTTTTTCAAAATATGATTTTTCAAATCCATTTGATCGATCTGAATTATTTGTTATCGCAGATTTTCAAAAAGAGAAAGAAATTAATTAATTTATTTATTTTATCATTAAATAAATATATATGTGTGTATATATATATATATAATTTAGATTATTTAAAGTATAATTTTATTTACAACTTACCAACTCCATCCCATCTATAACCAGGTGGAATATCGAATCGATTAGGTGGTGGAGGTGGACCTTTGTATTTTGGTTGATTTGATTTTTTTTTCTCTTTCTAAAAAAAAATAATCATTCAAAATTCTATTATTTCCTTCTCTTGTAAAAATTTGCCGAAATAAATGATAAATAAATAAATAAGATTACTCTCACTAACCTTTGTTAAAAACGTTGTTGCTGGATCATTCCATCGTTCTTTTGATTTTAATTCTTCATTTAAATCTACATCATCTTTATATCTGAACAAAGGTGAAGGTGTAATAAAAATTTTAGAAAAAATCTATATAATAACTAATTATAACTAATAATAAGATTGAAGTATCATACATTGTTAATGGTCGATTTCGGAGTTCTACTTCTTTACGAATTTGATCTTCTTTACCCCATTTCATCATTTTTTCTTCTTCCTCAATTTTACGTCGTTCTTCGGCTCGTTGCGCTACTATATCTATTTTTTTTCCTATAAAAATATAACAAAATATTAAATATAAATATTAAATAAAAATATGGTTAAATATAATTATATTATTATTATTATTATTATTATTACTAACCATATTTATCACGATATACAGTGGCCGCATCACGACCCGATAATGCTGGATCCATTCTTTTTAATTCTTCTCGCTTTTCTCTATTAACACGATCTAAATCTTTTTTCATTTTTTCTGCAGTTTGTAAACCAACATTTAATCCTGACGTCATTTTTTGAGTTGTAGTTGATGGCGATGATGATGATGATGATGATGATAATGATGATTTTTTTTTATCTTCTTTCTTTTCAATTTCGTGTTGTGTTTGAATTTGTACTAAAATATAAAAAATTTAAATATTAAAGTTTAAATATAAAAATTTAAATATAAAATAAATAATAAAATAAATAAAAATAAATAAAAGTAAATAATAGTGAAAGTGATATATAATTTACCAATTAGTGGAGCTTCGTCTCCTCGTTCTTCTTCTGCAAAAATCGGTTTCCATTTTTGTAATCGCTCTTTTTCTATTTCATAAGTATCTTTAATCAAAATAATAACAACAACAACAATAATAATAATGGTAATAACGAGTTAATAATAATAATGATAATAATAACAAGTTAATAATAAAAAAAAAACAAAGGGTATATACCGTTTATTGGTTCAATATCCTCATCGTCAACTTCGGATCCTTTTTTTTTCCATTCTTCAACCATTTCTTCTTCATCGATAATCGCGAAACTTCTTTTACCATTTTTAATATTAGTATTAGTTATTTTTTTCTTCTTTTTCTTTTTGGTAGATTCCAACGAAGTAGAAGTGGAAGTTCCATATTTGCTAGCAAGGTAATCGTTAAGAGTTGACATTTTTTTTTATTTTATTATATTATTATATATATTATTATATTATTATTTATTATTATAATTATCAGTAAATCAAGTTAAATCTATTTTTGATTATTGTCAGACAGACTACTAAAAATATCTTCATTATCATAATGGAAGTTGATATAGATTATTATAAATTGTTTTAATTATTTTTAGATCTAAAACTTCATTTATCTTAAATTGGTAAAAAATAATAAAACGGTAGTACTCATTATAATACTTGATCATAACTTGCTTTCAGAGTATAACAATCTTTCAGACATTTTAGTCATTGTTAATAAACTATTTAAATATCTCAAGAAAAAACATCTAAATAAATATTTGAATAAACTTTTTTTTTTTTTTTTTTTTTAACAATCATGGACGATTACCGTCGTTATCGAGATAACAATTCAAGAAAAGAACTTTTCTCTGGTGCAACTAATAATCAAGGTCAAGGTGGAGGATATCCACCACCGTCAGGATATCCACCACCGTCGGGATATGGAAATCCATATTATGGACAACCACCACCACCATATGGACAACCACAACAACATCAGGAAACTGAAGAAGATATTGACGAAATCAAGTCTCAAATTAGAGCTACTAAACAAGATTCTGTAGCATCTACTGTGCGTTCTTTAAAGTTGATCGATGATGCTGAAGCATCTGCGCAAACGACATTAAATAAACTTGCTGAACAATCTCGTAAATATTTCTCTCACTTTTCATTATATATAATTTATCATATCTTTCGATGTAAATTTTTATTAATTATTTTTTCATAATTTCATATAAAAAAGATCGTATAAACTACACTGATCGACAATTGGATCTTGCCGATGCACACGCTGAACGTGCTGAAGAACAAGCCGCTAAGTTAAAAAAGGTATAACTTTTATAACTTACTTAAGAACAAATACCAACAATTATTTAATTAACTCTTTAATAAATTCTTTAATTAATTAATTGGATTTATTTATTTCTTTCTTTCTTTTATTTATTTTAGATTAATGGATCTATGTTTGGTTTTGATATAAGCAATCCATTCAATAAAAAGAAACGAGAAGAAGCTGAATTAGCTCGTATTCAAGCTATGCAAGAAGAACAAAGAGCCAGTCGAGAAAATATGAGAGCAGCAAATTGGGATACTCAACAAAGAGTTAATAGTGTTCAAAAACAAACTCAACAAGGTTACGCTCAAAGACCAAATAATTCATCAACATCAACTAAATCAACTTCTCGAAGTCGATTCCAATTTGAAGCCGATGAAGAAGATGATCGATTAGAAGATCAAATAGATAATAATTTGGATGCACTTTCATCGGGTTTGTCTAGATTGAATGCAATGGTAATTATCTTTTAATATATTTGATTGATATATTTGATGATTAATATATTTGATGATTAATATATTTGATTAATATATTTATTTATTACATTGAATAATAATCATAATATTAAAATAAAATTTAATTTAATAATAAAATTCTTCAATATTTAGGCTGTGGCATCAGGAGATGAGATTAGAAAACAAAATGTTGTCCTCGATCGTATTTCGAATAAGACTAATGATTTGGATACTCGTATTGCAGGAACAACTCATAAATTGAAAAAGATTACATAAAATTATTTAAATTTTTTTTTCTTTTAACCAGAAAATAAGAAGAATATTTAACAATAATGATAATATTTATTTTTTGTTGTTGTTTATTATAATTTTTATTTATTATAATTTTTATTTATTATAATTTTTATTATTATAATTTCTATTATTATTTATTATTATTTATTATTTATCATTATTATTTATTATTATTATTTTATTTTATTTCAATTTTTATTAAGTCTCATGTTATTATATTAAATATTTATAAGAAATTTTATTAAAATCACTCTATATATACTATATATATACACAAATGATCCTTGAATAGACCCGATGAAATTTATATCTATCTTTGTCTATTTATATATAGATTATCTATACAAATAATGAATGAAGTATTTTACTAAATAAAATTAAAATTTATATTGTTATATAACAGAGTAATAATAATAATAAAATACCAAAAATAACAGAATAACAAAAATAAATAACACAAATATTATTCAATATTAAAATAGAAATAAATCTCCCGCGCGAGCTTACCTTATTTGACTCGGTTCGACAATGGTGGTTTTGAGAATCGATATTCGTCAAGTCGAAGACTACAATAATAGATTTTTCTAGCATTGAGTTTTAATCGAACTAAAAAAAATAGAAAACAATATTAGGCTTGCAAACTCAATTACCAGATTTGTGAACTTTAACTATTAGGCTCGCGTACCTGTTTATACAGCTCCTAACTTTTGAACTCGGAATGTAATCATGGTAACTTTCATTATGTATTATTACTTACATATTATTTATATTATTATTTATATTATTATTTATAAATATTTATTTATTATTTATAAGTTATTATTAGATTTTTCATCCAAGAAGGATATAAAGATCGAATTAGAATTTTTAAATGCTTCGTTACTTAACTTTTATTTATATTATTTATATTATTTATATGTATTATCCCGCAGACAAATTTGCCCGCATTTATTAGTAACTTGTGACGTCCCTACCGTTTAAGGGATAACATATTTATATGTATTACATAATATAATTATTAGCCATATATATTATAACATAAAATAAAATATATAAATAAATATATTATTTATTTAATATTTATATTATACTTATTTATTAGATTCTCGATCAGGGATAATCATAATATTTGAAAGATTCGCTGCTTAACATTATTAACTTTATTGTATCATTGAATATCAATTGCATCCATAAAATCATTATAACAATAATCATTAATTAATTATAAATAATATGTACAAAATATAAAGAAAGAACATAATGATTTCGTCCCGATATGCATAACTATATATTTTTTTAAAAAAAAATAATTAATATTGGTTTATCCATAAATTACGTGCGACACGAGAAATTTTGTTTTTTTTTAATGAACTACAATGCATAATTTTTATACATAACTACACGACATAACGCGTTGAAATTATGTACTTTATTATATTAATTAATAATGATATTCTTTAGAAAAAATAACTCTATAAAAATCCTCTAATTTCGCACTCATTGAAAATTCGTTTTTCAAATTAAAATAATTAAATTTACTTGGTGCATCGCATCATTCTTTTACATTCATTTTATTGCCATTCATTAAATTCTTTTTCGCTTTCTTTTTTGTACCTTTTTCTTTTACTACACTAAACCTTTTAAGAAAATGAAAACTAATCTCATTACTGCTGCTCTTATTTTGGTTGCTTCCTTCGTTACTGCTTCCGAGGCAAAAGGCTGTAATGAATACCAAACTAATTTTGGTAGATGTGTTAGTGGCCTTGCTAAAAACAAACTACGTATGTATTTCATTTAAATTAAGTTTTGTCTCTTTTATATTTATCTCTTTAAAATAAAATAATAATAATAATAATAATCATTTTTTTATTATTTGGTTTCAATTAAATAGTCACAATAGACGCAAAACTATGTTTATGCAAACCTGAAATCTATAAGAGCTACTGTGACTGTAATGGGCCAGTCATCTCACCCGAGGACTACTTTAACTCCGAACTTTGCTCAATTTTACCTGCTAAAACTAAGCAAAAATGTATTGATGACGCCAACAAAGAATATAAAATAAAAGTAAAAGTACCAAAAAAGGATCGTAAAACTAAAAATAATGTTAAATCTGGTCCTTTCGACCCATACAATGGAGCTCCTGGTGGTTTCTTCTGTGAGCCTTGTGCACAACCTCCTGCTTCTTCAACCGTCGCTCCTTTAGCAACCACCGCTTGTTCTACAACCATCGTTCCAGCCTCCTCAAAACCTTGTGGAAAACGTGATAAAAATGGGAAATGTTTAACCATTTCTATCCCATCATCTCCCACTAGTTCACCTCACTCACCTCACTCACCTCACTCCCCTAACTCTCCTAACTCCCCTGGTTCCCCTAGCTCACCTAATTGTAAAGTACGTGGTAAAGATGGGAAATGTTTAAGCATTGTTATCCCCTCTTCTACTAGTTGCACTTCCGCTACAGTGCATCCAACTAAAATAATTACCTCACCAAAATCACCTACCTCACCAAAATCACCAAAAATCTCGTCAACTTCCGTTTGTACAAAATGTCAACAAAATCCGCCACCCCCAACTACAACTTCTTGTTTCAGCACCGTAAAACCAACTACAACTGCTTGTTCCAGCACCTTAAAAGTGATTGCTAAACCTTGTAAAAATTGTAAACATGCTTAATTAATTAATGTTGTGTCGTATTAAATAGATATAGAATGCGTAATAATTTTTTTGCATTAGAGTTTAATAATAGTCAGATCAATCATTTTCTTTATATAATTATATAATAATAATATAATTTGTCTCTTACTCTCATGTGTGTCTTTTTTTGGTGAGAGAATTCGATATATAATTCTCTTGCATTTTTACTAATATTTTTTTTATTAATAATTATAATAAATAAATAAATATATACATATATATATATTTCAAAATTTTTAATAGTAATGATAAATAATTGGAATTTCATTATAATTTCTATCTATCATAATAAATTGATAAAGTGTTTGATAATAAAAACATACATTGTGTCTATGTGTGTTCTCGTTACCTTTTTTTTTTTCTTTATTTATAATAATGACCAGAAACACAAGAAAAATGATAAAAGCAATATATCTTTAATTTATTATTATTTTTATTATAATTATGCCACGAGAATTTTTTACTCTTCTCAGTAATTTCAATGAACTATAGCAATGTATTCCTTTATCACAGAAACCAATAAGCAAAAAAAAAAAAAATTGTAATAAAATGGTTATAAGATGGTTACACTATATAATCACATCAAATCTCTACTCTCTAATTTGAGGTATAATTATTTCACCCACGCAAGAAATTTATTCTATTTGTATTTATATTCATTTCCGGAAGAAAATAAGTTTTCTGACAAGGAGTATCATTTACATTTAAAAACTAAGTTAAAATAAACGAGAAATATTTTAGTGTTAATTATAGTTTGTAATACGGATAGATGTTAATTTGTAGTTGTTTTCGTGAATAGTTATATTGGATTTGTATAAAATTCTTCTCCAGATTTAAGTATTATTGTTGGGAAGTAGGAATTCCCATTTTTAAAAGTGATTCTATTATTAATTGGTTTTGCCAAAGAATATGCATTTATTTTTTCTATACAATTTGGAAATGTATTTAATATTGATTATTTCTCGTAACGTGAAAGGTTCTTTGATTATTTTGCTGAGAAGTTATTCCTTGTATTGAAATGTGTAAAGGTTATTATACATTCCAAGGTGTTCAGTAAATTATTAATACATTCTGAAGGTCTTAATATTGTAAATGTTTCTATAAGTATTTTTAAATATCAAGCAACTAAAGAAATCTCTATTTTAAAAAAAACCACCAGAAATTGCTTACCAATTAAAAAATAAGATAATGAAAATAGGTATAAACACCATCTATAATAAAAATAATAAAAAAATAAGGGGGAGGGAGGAAGTGGATCACCACGGAATTTTCAAATAAACAAAAAAAAAAACAGGTAATCACATAACTTATTCCATCTTCTGGTGAAAGTGCCCAGAACACACGCTGGGAAAATATTTTGCTGCCGCTTTAGCAGCTTCATTTCTTGCATCGAAATAATCTTTATGAACCCCACTTGTAAATTTACGAAAATAATCCATTTCGACAATCCAGCCCTGATTGTCTCCATATATTATTGGGAACCAAGTTGGAAAACGGTTATTGGTGTTTCGAGCATATTTGAGTAAACAATCATAATAACATTTATCATCGTAACGTTCCAACAATGCCCGTTCCGCGTCTTTGTACGCTTCATCAGATAGAAATATTTTTGTAGCCTCATCACGTTTACGTTTAAGAGCCTTCTCCTTCTTTTTTTTCCTCTGTCTTTCAAGCATTCGTCGACGAACAAATGATAAATTTGTTAAATTATCATTATCATTATTTTCTCCTTCAATATAATTTCGCATTGCCTTCTTCTTGGAGGCAATGAATTCAGCGGGAGTTTCAGGGAGTTGTGGTGGTAATGTCGATTCAATAATTACTTTATTTTTTTTATTTTTTGGCACAGTTTTTTTCCATTTGAGCCAAGATTCATATGAATTTCTTTGTAGTTGTACTATTTCATCACAAACTCCCCATTGAATTATTTTACTATTCTGAGAAGTTATATTTAAATCTAACCACTCACAATATTGTTTTGCTACCATTTCTTCTGCTGCCTCCTCTGAAAAACAGATTCCACTGTGAAATTTTTTGTTTTCAACATATATAAATGAAACTATCCCATTTTCATTGTTTACAGTAATAAACTTAGGTGGGGATAAGTTTTCGGATTCAAAATAATGTCCAAGTAAATTTCGATAGATGTTATTGAGTTGAATATTGTTGTTTTCTTCCACTAATTCAGGTTCAGAACCATCGTCCTTGATGGTTTCAATTGATTCCACAGAACTTTCTCGGATCTCTCGGATCTCTCGAGTTTCTCGAATCAAAAAACCTTCAGAATGAGTCCTTTGCCTTTTGCTAGATTCAGCAACTTGTTCTTCTTTCAGACTTTGATAAATTCTCTTTGCCATAGTTGATCATAAATTTGTAACAGAAATCGAAATAAAAAGCAAAGCAATTCAAAGATTAAAAACAAAGATCGAAAGGTGATAAAGATTTTAATAATAATAAAAAAGAAACTTTAATATAATACTTTTGTAAAATGAAAGAAAATAAGAGTAAATTGTAAATAAATGTATGTAAAAGATTTATTTTGTTGTTAAATATAATTCGATTATTCGGAGTGACTTGTATCACTCAAAATTGCAAAATTGTGAAAAATTAATTCCGCATTCCTTTCGAAATTCAAAATATGGCATCTAACGTTATAGTCTTACTTTCCAATGGTAAAAAGCAAGCAGTGAAAACAACCCCGATGATGACGTTGAGACAAATAGTAAATTTCGTTTGTGAAAAACAGGGAATCTTAGATGCCGAGAAATGGGGTTTAAAGTAAGTTTTATTAATCTAGATTATTTTGTTAGTTGTGATATCTAAATTTCTCATTATTTAAATGTTCGTATGTGTTTCTTAGTATGTTTAAACCCTTCTTTGACAAAGTATTCAAATATATATATATATATATATATATATACATATATATTAAATATTTTTTGGTTATAGACAGAATAGAAAGATTCTTGATCTAGGTCTTTCAGTAAGATTTGCAAACTTGGCACCTGGCGCTAAACTTGAATTGATCCGAGTTAATGCACCGAAAGGTATTACTTGATGTATTAATTTCTTTGATATATACTTGAGTAAATCACGAATGTTGTTTTTAATAATGTAATGATGATTAATTATCCATTATTTATTATTATTATGTAAAAATGAATTATTTTATTCAGCTCATAGTGATGTTCAGATTGCTCTACAATTAGATGATGGGGGAAGAATAATTGGAAAATTTCCAATTACAATTTCATTATGGGATATATTAATATATTTTGAAAATAAAGAAGATCAGAAAGAGTAAATAAGAATAATTATATATCAAATAATCGTTTAGTGAATAATATAAATAATTGGTAAAACAACAATTTCTTTTCATAATTATCAATTTATTTTTTAGACCATTAAATCTTACAAAACGAATAGCACCGGCACCACAAACTAAAAAGAAAAATTTCTTTAAAAAAATGAATAAAGCTGAAGAATTACTATTTTATCAGCAACCTGTGTGTTTATTATTAAATCAGGAGGTAAAAAAAAAATTGTATTTGAAATTTTTTTGGTTTTAATATTTTATTTATTTGTTTTATAATAAAAATAATTTATCAAAATAATTTATATTTAGTATGGAACTATTCCAATGTTAAAATCAACAACATTACAATCAGCTGGAATCACTTCGGGAAATGCAGTATTAAGACTTTTATTTAGACATACTGATTTAAGTATTGAGGATGCTTTGACTGATACAGTTACACCACAACCATCATTCACCCAAGTACCAACAAATGAAAAAAATGAAAAAGTGTTAGTTAATTCATCATCTTCTTCATCATCATCAAATGTTCAAAGTGTTCCAAATGTTCCAAATGTTCCAAGTGTTCCGAGTGTTCCGGATGTTCAAAGTGTTCAAAGTATTTCAAATGTTCCGGATTTGATTGTTAAATCGTCTTCCGTAGAAGTTATGGAAGTCACAGATACAGATCCAGTAATCCAATCTTCGGATACAGATCCAGTAATCCAACCTTCGGATACATCTCCAGTAATTCAATCTTCAAATATAGAAAATATAGATCCAGTAATTCAATCTTCAGATCAAGGACATTTTGATCGTGATGTAAAAGTATTTAATCCTATACCGGAAAACGTTCCAATTTCAACCAACAGTGAGGTTTTTTTTATATTTAAGAAAAGAAAACGAAAAACGAAAAAATTATTAAAATGATTATTTAAATTAACAATTATTCATTTTACAGTTGAAATTCCTGATTCCTTTTATGAATTGACACCCCTTGAATTAAAATATTTATTATCAATGCAAAATTCTAAACGTGCAACTGAAGAGAATTCGGGTTTTAAAACTAGTGCAATAAGAGCTCATGAAGAAAAGGAAAAGGAGGCCAAATACCCAAAGGTTGGAAATTATAATAATTTGTTATTTACCTTTCAATAATAATAATAACTTTTTTTTCTAATTAATTGATATTTTATTGATTTTTAAAGACTTTGATAAGAGTAAGGTTTCCTGATAAATTTCAATTACAAGTAGCGTTCTTGACAAAAGAAAAAGGTATTGAAATTAAAGTTGTTTAATCTCGTGTACTTCATATATACTTTATTTATATAATTCTTATATTTTCTTATATTTTAGTTGCCAATTTATATGAATTTGTCAGAGGAACATTACGATCACCCCATCGAGCATTTGAATTATGTAAAATATTTAATTTATTTTTTTATTTTTATTTTTAATAATTGTTTCTTATTTTATATATTTTAAGTATAAATTTTTATATTACAATTATAGATATCAGTCCACCCAAAAAGATACTTTCAGATCAAAGTCTTTCATTTTTTCAAACTGGATTATCACCTGCTTCGATAGTGTATTTTAATTGGTTAGATAAATCTGATGAAAGTATGTCACATTTATACAGTATTGTGTATGTTATTATATATAATTTATTTTGTAAATTTATCACTTTTTTAGATCAAAATCCTTATTTAACAGAAGAATTCTTAAGTCTTGGAGAAGATGTTCCTATAACAACTATAAAAAATACTACATCTATTATTCCAGAGAATTCTACTGCTTCTGTTGTAATGATGGATGATATAGGGCATACATTATCTGAACCCTCTCAACGAAAAGAAATATTAAGTAATAATAATAAAAATAAAGGTGGTGTTAGTAATAAAATTCCAAATTGGCTAAAAAGTAAGTACATAAAATAGTTATTTTATTATTATTTTAAACAATTGTAAATAATTTTCTTTTAACAATTTCTCTTTTTAATTTCTTATATTTTTTTAATAGAACATAAAAAATGAAAATTCGTAATAAAATGAAATCTAATAAATATGATTTTTTTATTATACAATTTATAACTTTTATATTATTATATTTATTAGAATGTATAATGTATAATTATTAAATAATAAAGACATACATTATAATATATTTAAATTTTTAATAATAATAATGATAAATATTGTATTGTCATTATTTATTTCATTTTATAACAATCCCCCCACTAGGAAATATCCAAATTTATTCTTTACTTCATATTGTTTTCTCAAGTTCATGTAAGCGTGCGTTTTTAAGAACGCCATATTTATCAAAAAGATTTATACAGTACTTGCATAAGTCATATTATGAGTTGCTTCAAATAAATATCTTGTCGTCACAAATTCAAATCACCATATTCATTAGCGGAATCTGTTATAAATTTGTTTGATGTTTTTAATAATTACTAAAAAAAATCTGATGCTTGTTCCAATTATTTATTTATTAAATCGTATATCTTCCTCCTTTATGAATTCAGACAATAATGCACCATTCTCTTGGTCTATCGAAGTATTTCTGGAAGAGCAATCATTCTATAGTATTTGTTTGGAATAATGTAACTTAGATGCGTAAATAACCTCTCGTCATTACCAACTGATTTCAAACTCGAAGACCCATTTAATTCAAAAACGTCCTGAAATCTTTTTCAAAATAAATTGTGCATTTTTCATACTCAAAATTATTGAGCATGAAATGTATAAAAATAAATGGTTGAATATGTAAATTTTAAATATAAATTTTGAATATGTAAATTTTATAAGCACATTAAAACTAAATTAATATTATATTTAACATAATTCATTTTACATCAGTAAATTTTTTTAGGCAATGATCAATGGAGGATTTTCGCATTTTTTTGACTTCACCCGCGATTTACGAAACGCAGAGGGATTTTCTACTAAGGTATTTCTACAATAGAAAGAAAGGTCTTGTTATTGGCTACAAAATGCTAGTTGTTTTATCCTGGTAGTATTGATATTCACGGAGATTCGCGTCGCGTTTAAAGTCGAACGTCCGTAAAAATAAATTTTCCGTAATTCTGGCCAGAATTATGGCATAAATTTTCACGGGCGTTTTTTTTTAAGCTAGAATAACTCCGCGAATATTGATGCTATTGGGATAAAAACGCATATCATTTTGCAGCTAAGAACAAGGCTTTGCTTTCTATCTTAGAAACATCTTAGTAGAAAATCGCTCTACGTTTCGTAAATCCATTGAAATTTACTTATTCAAAATTTATATTTAATTTAAAAAATTGATTGAATAACAGATTAAATTTTTACAGATTTATTTCACATCCAACCAATTTTTCAAGAGAACATTTTCTGGATCATCTCTTCTTGAGTATCACTTCAAATTGCCAAACCAATGAAATTCAAGATTGGTTACCAGAAGTAGTTAATTAATTTCTTGAAAATAAAATTTTTGCCTGAAGACTGGAATACATTAAAAAAGTTTTTTTGGTATTGAGAGATATTATGTAAAGGGTAGAAAGAACATTGTGAACTTACAAGATAATCTTTTTGATGAAAAGAAATACCATTTCCAATTGCAATTAGATTTAAGGACAATACCATTTCCAATTGCAATTAGATTTAAGGATATTATTGAACAGTTAACAACAAAAACCTTTTTATACATTTCATGCTAAATTCCTTAGACTTAAGTATAATAATTTTGAGTTTGATAAATGCACAATTCATAATGAAAAAGATTTTCAGGACTTTTTGAAATTAGGTGAGTCTTCGGGTTTGAAATTAGTTGATAATGTCGAAGAGATTATTACACATCCAAGTTACAAAATACTATGTTATTGAGATTCTTTATTTGTACATTATTTTCTGAATTCGAGATATAACCAATGAATACGATTTAATAAATAAATAAAATCGGAACAAGCATCAGATTTTTTTTCAGTAATTATTAAAAAACATTTGTGGTATATTATCAAGCTTTGATTCCTAAAAAAAAATTAATGATAATGAGAAGTAAAGAAAAATGAATTTGTTTTACTTTTATAGCATAATCGCCACTGCTGCTCTACTTACCCGGCTCATTTTCAAAGTGGCATGAATTGCTAATTTAAATGATTGCCGTATTTATGTTTATAACTCTGGTATAAAACAAGAAATTTACTAATAAGGGGTAACATAACTAAACTTTAGAGACAAATGGACAGTTTTGCTAACAAATTACAACGAGATGAGCAAGAAGAGTTCAAAAGTGAAAAAGACACAGAATTTTTGAATTTTCATGATACAACATTAACAGTAGAACAAACGGATATAGATAATTTCGAAGAATTTGTAGACTTTACTAATGATTTAACAGAAAGTAGAGAATCTATGTCTGAGGATGATTTTGCAGATTTCGAATCTGCTCCAAGTTTTCAAGAGCGAACTAGTTCTAAGCCCAATACACCAGATATTTCAGTATCCAATGATTTAAATATAGTAGGTGTATAAATTTTATTACTTTTTTTTTTTTTTAATTTATAAAGTTTGATTTCGAATATCGCGATTTGAATATGACAATTTGAATAATTAGACATGTTTGGATCTTAATTCAATGGACAATGAAACATTACTTACGAACTTAAGCCAAGTACTTGATAATATATTTCCATCAAAGGAAGATTACATTCATGAAAAAGAAAATTTACCAGTATTCGATAATAATATTTTTATCCCCGAAAGGTTTGTCAAACTTTTTATTTTATATTATATATTTTTTAATAATAATTATTATTCCAATTCATTATTTTTTATTATTAAAGCTCGAGAATATGGCGATATATATCACATGATTCTAATGAACAACTATTTCAATGGAAAAAGTCAATAATAAGAAAAGAGTATTATGCTTCATTAGGAATTACGATCGAAATTTTAGAAGAGGTAAATTAGGATTCATAATAATTTATTTCAATTTTTATTTCAATTTATTTCAATTATCTTATTTCAGATTTACCTTTAAAGGTTAAAACGAAAAGTAACATAAATAACATAAGTTCACAAACAGCACAAAGTATTATCACCTCAACAAAATCTTCACATCCTATCTCAGTACCTATTAAATCGACATCATATTCATCAGCTCCCGTCAGTCGTTCGTCAACTCCTGATTCCTTTAATGGATCACCTCATAATATTTCTAGTTCATCTCATGGTAATTTAATCAAGACCAAACCAACAACACGGATAGAAACACAATTAGATGTTGAATTAGCTAAATCGTTATGTTCAATTAGTGAAGGTAATTAAAATTTATTATTATATTCATCTCCCTCTTTTACATTTTATCTCTTTTATATTTACCTCTTACATTTATCTCTTTTACATTTATCTATTTCTCTTTCTTATTTATTTATTTTTTTAAAATATAACGATATTATTATTATTATTATTTATCTTTGCTCTCTTGTTTAGAAACATTGCAGACATTTACCAGTTATCAACTTCTTGGTTTAAAGGCACAACTTCTTGCAATGTCACGACAGACATCAGATGTACTTACATATTGGTTAGATCAACGTGAACAAACTATCATGGATTCCGAAACATATAATAAAATGATTGGATGCCTTGTAGGACACGCACAAAAAATAAGAGATGGAGGTAGTTTGGGAGGAAATAAATCCAAATCTGATCGGGAGAATCGAAGTGAAAAATCCAGAAGGAGTACAGTTGCTAGTGGTTTGGGTATGTTATTTCGAAAATAAATTATTTAATAATAATAATAATAATAATAATAATAATAATAATAATAATAATAATAATATTTTTCTAATAAATCATAATAGCGTCTTTGGGACTTTCTTTCAAAAAGCATAAATTTCAAACGGGTTCACCAAAGGTGTCACCCTCTGTCACAACTGAAGTTTCAAAAAATAACGAAAGACCTCTTTCCATGTAATTTATTTATACGTTTGTTAGAATTTTAATTTAATACTTGAGAATACATAAAAACCAGGAGAAATGGAATTTATAGAAATAGGATTTATGAAATAAACTTTTTTTAAACGAATTCAATGCATTATATTTCTTTTTTTTTTTTTTCTGTAATTTTATAACTTTAATTTATTCATTTTTTTTTATAACATTTACCCTCAATAACATTTATCCTCAATACATTTACCCTCAATAATATTTACCCTCAATAATATTTATTCATAATTACCTTGTAATGTTATTAAATATTTTCATAATTATAATAATATTTATAGTAATTTAACCTATTAAATTTTCTTTTTTTTTTCTTTTCTTTTATTTACGTTCTAACGAGATAATTTATATCTTCCTTATATGGTAATCAAAAAAAAATGTACAAATGATAAAGAAAATATAAATACAAAGTCATATCAAGTTTTCAAAATTTTGATTAAATATTATTAAACATTTTTAAATATTATTAAACATTTTTAAATATTAATAATTAAATATTATTAAATATTTGTATCTATTAAACAAAAAGAATATATTGTACATATTATAATTAAAATCTAAATTATTATTACTAAAATGTTTTAAGTTGTTATTACAGTATTATAGAATATTAATTTATCCAAGTTTTGTTAATTCTTGAAGAAAAGAATGAGCGTTTAATATTTGTGTAGATCCATATATAATTTTCTTTTTTTCTGCTTGACGCTTTAATTAATAAATATAATAATAGATAATAGATAATTATTATTATTATTATTATTATTATTATTATTATTATTATTATTATTATTATTATAAATTTCAAATTTTAATTTCGAATTTTCAATAATTAATTTCAAATTTGTAAACTTACTAAACTTACTTGGGCATATTCTTGTAAATTTTGATATTCAATATAATTTCCACCACCAACTACAAATACAATACCTTCTTGAAAGCTAATTCTATTTCTAGCTTGTTTATTAACAGTTGAACTTCGAGCCATCTTTGGATCAAAAAAAAGATAATCATCCGTTTCATTTGTATTACTGGTAGTAGGTTCCATAATTGACTCAACAATTTTTGTTACTGTTAAATCTTTACGTGTGGGAAGTAAATTTTTTACTCCGGATATTAAATTTTCAAAACCTCCACCAAGACCACCTTCTTTTAAACGGTCTGTCAACTAAAAGTCAATATAATGTTAAACTCAAATATACTAATCAAAAAAAAAATTTTTTTTAAGAAAAGAAATCAAATAAAAACTACCTTATTTCCTATAGAACTAAATCCTTGGAAAAGTTGACTAGATTGTCCAAATCCTGAACTTTGTGATACAGGCGTCGACATCACAGTCATCTTCGTGAATTCATGTGCCCTAAACAATTTTGCACAATTTTACACAACGTTACATAATGTTGAAAAAAAAAAAATGATAAATTATGTTAAGATATCTTTATGAAATTTGAAATTAATAATTACTAACTTTTTTACATAATTTAGAGCAGCCAAGTCACATCCAGAAGAACGTAAAGCCTCTTCATATTCTGCCATATCTTCTTTTGTGATTTCATCCATTGAAAGATAATAGATGATAAAGAAACGAAGTTTATCTTCTGGTGATTTTTTCTCAGGATCTCTAATAGCATCCAGTATTGTTGATTTGCTTTGACGAGTAATGGATTCTTCCATCTGAAAAAAAGTATCTAATTGACGTTCTTTAATTCCTTGTAATAAAGATGTGGCTATGTTCATATGCATGTCAAGCGTTTGTTTACGAGCTGTAAGTTCCGGAAGTGCAGTAATAGCCGATTTTAAATATTGTGTATTTTGAGAAAAATCTGCTTGATCTACATCGTCAAGTGAATTAACTCCACTAAGTTTGGTGATTTCTGCTGCATCAGTTTTGTAACGATTAAGTTCCACGTCAATTTCTTCAGCTACTTGGGGGAAAGGACTTGCTGCATTTTTATCCCAAAAGAAATCTTTACTATCTAAATCATAACTTTTCTTATTTTTACGTCCCATTTCTTCGGTTTCTATGGAAATTCTATTTAATCGCATATCCAGAACATCATGTATCAAGGCTTGATAAGTCCAAGAATGACTCAACATTGGAACCAAATCAATATTTCTGTCAAGTATTATTAAAACAGGTCTCTGGAAATTCAATGTTGCCGAAGTATCCGTGAATAAATTATTTCGGGAATTTAATATATGATCACGTAGACGACTATCAAGTTTTTGTGCAATCATCTCTGCTGCATTTCCTCTCGGACATCGAATAATTGGTATTACACCCATAGTTACTAATACTGAAAATAAAGAACTAACTGTACGATCAATAACTTGTTCGATAGTAGTTTCTGCAGCAGTAGGATCATTCAAAGAATAATATATGTTTGATTGATTCAATGAAAAAAGATTAGGTTCAGAAACGATAAAATTCAAATATTGATCATAAATTTGGGAAATTAGATTTGATGTGTTATTCGATATCGTAGATGTAGCAAGTTCTTCTAATAAAGGTCTTGTGATGGCCGTCAAAAAATTAATGTAATATGATTCATAAAGATTTTTTGCCAAATCCTTTTAAAAAATAAATATGAAATTAACTACCTTTCAAAAAAAAAAAAAAGGTTATTATAATAATTTCATTGATCAATTGAATTGTACCTCACTAATTTTCTGAATATTTTCGGATGTTGGCTCTACAAAGTAAATTGCTGGAACATCTGTAATAGAATGTCTATCACTCTTTAATAACCTAAATAAAAAGAAAGTTTAAAAAACATTCAAAATTATTTATTAATAAAATAAGATTTTATATTTTGTTGATTTGCATACATGTGAACAGTTATGCCATTCTCCCGTAAATCAGCAACTTTGAGAACTGACGAAATTATATCTCGACCAAATTCATCAAATATTAACACCTTCCAAACAGTGTCGGAATTTAATGTTGGAACCATAAGATTGTCTAGACTATCTATGGTTGTCATGGTCGGTGGTTCGGGTTTGGAATTAAGATTAAGCATTGTAACTATAGCTTCTATTAATTTAATATAGCTTCTATTAATTTAATTTTTGATAGATCTTCATATGTCAAACAAAAATTTTATAAGTTTAATACAAAGAAACAAATACAGAACTTACCGATTTGCTGGTCTCTTAAACTTGCGTTCTTTGTTGACATTTTTTTAAAAAAAATATTTAAGGAAAATAAATTTTTTTAAAATAATCGAATATGAATATAAATGAAATTTTTGTGTTTCTTACTTAAATAGGGCATTTCATGTGATATTTAGAATTATCCAAAATTTCAATTATTTCATTCGCAGCGAGAAATTGAAAAAAAAAAGATAATCGAAAAAAAAATGGTAGCGAAACAACCAAAATCTGGGATCGTTGTTGGCTTAAATAGAGGTCATAAAGTAACTCCTCGTGAACCTCGTCCTAAACCATCTCGGAGAAAGGGGGTATGTAATTATTGTAATAGATAAATTTTTTATTAAGAGAATTCTTTTGTATCATAATTAAATTTTGATCAAATTTCATAATTAATTGATTCATACAAGGTTATTTCTCACAAAGTAAAAACTGTTCGTGATACAATTCGGGAAGTTGTTGGTTACGCTCCTTATGAGAAACGCGTGATGGAATTGTTGAAAAACTCTAAAGATAAACGGGCCAGAAAATTGGCCAAAAAGAGAGTATGTAAAAAAAAAATGAAAAATGATAACTAGATATTCTTTAAATTTATTCGTAATAATTACTAAAATCAATTCTATCAATTATATAGCTTGGCACCTACGTTCGTGCCAAAAAGAAGGTTGAAGAACTTAGCAATATCATTGCAGAATCTCGTCGCGCTCATTAAAAAAAGAAACAATTTTATTGGAATAATGAATATTTCTATTATTTCATGATTGAAATTGGAATTTATTTATATTTTAATTATATTTTAATTAAAGTTATTTTTAGGAAGAAAATGATTTTCTTTTTTTTTTTCTTTTAATTTTTTTTAGTTTTGGTTTTCCCGAAATATTTATTTTAATAAATATTTTTACGAGAATTAATGAATCTTTGAAATTTTAAAAAATTAGGGTAAAGGAGGCAACAATATGATTAAAATGCATTTTTCATAATGCATTCTAATAAGAAACATTATAAATTGCAATTCTATAAAACTGAGATAATAATTATGAAAAAAAGATGCAATGTTATTGTGAATTGTAAATTGCACACAATCAAAAGTTGGTTGAAATTAATAAATAGAAAAAAAATTTTTTTTTTTTATATCAATAATTCCTCATAAAATAGAAAACCATTTTGAATAATAATTTAATCAAAGACGGTAATTGAGAGAAATCTTTTCAAATTCTAATAAAATTGTTCATTTTTTTTTTTTTGAAAATCATAGAATTTTTATCACAAATTCCACAAATAATGTCATTAATGTCATTAGTACCCGCATTTAAATAATTTGAATTTACCACACGAAAAATATAAAAATATGAAAAAATATAAAAACAAATGTAACAAATATATAACACAAATAAAAAAAAAAAACTTGGGCGCAAAAAAGAAATTACACGTCACCACTTTACAATACCCTTATGAATGTAAATATATATATCAAATATATATAAAATATATATGTAGAATACAAACCTGCATAAGAATGAAATTTGATTTTTTAGTTCTCTGAATATTTTTTTTTGTAATAATTCAATAACGTCTAACATGTTCGCTTTTAACATCAAGGTTGGAAGACTTGGTGGTTGATATTTTGTGGTATTCAAACCGTCGATTGCGGTCACTTTCGTTTTCAACGACACTCTTTCTTACTTCTTTATCTCTTTCCTTGTCTCTACCATCTTTATCTTTACTTTGCTCCTTTTTATCACTTTTTTGTTTAATGCTATTTAAAGTTCTATGAGTTCTATTATCTCGAGAATCACAACTTCCAGTCATGTGTGTTGATGATGTTCCTCCTCCCAAATTATCTTTATCATCATCTATTTGATGCCATGGATGTTGCAATGACTGACGTGCCGTAGACCTTTTATCTGGATTCAAATCTAACATAGGAAGCAAAAAGTCTGCCATAAAATCGGCTTCATTTCGTGAAAGTAAATATTTTTCTTGTAATACATCCGCAAGCTTCCAATGTCGTAGCTTATGGATGTGACGAAGTTCGCCTAAAGATTTAAAAAATTAAAAAATTAAAAAATTAAATTAAATTTACCAAACAAAATAATTTTAAAATTAATTCTTATATATATGTATGTATATATACCTTTACGATTAAATATATCGGTGGAATATTTTCCACTCAATGCCAAATGCTTTGGGAATAATCCCAACAACTCTGTAATTTGAGCTATGTGATCTGTATTGCAAATTATAAGAGTTGTAAAGTGTTAAATAATACAGTTCAAACAATGCAAGTCATTTAATTCTTATTTAATTCTTATTTAATTCTTATTTAATTCTTATTTAATTCTTATTTCATTCATCATTACCATCATCCTTGTTATAACGAGATCCAGCCTGTGGATCAAATAAATAATCTCCAGTAAAAAGTTCAAACACCTGAAAATAAAATTAAAAAAAAAAAAATTATTATTATAAATTAAAAAAAATAATAATAAATTTATTTTTTTAAAAAAAAAAAATTACCATACAAGCCATACTCCAAATATCGGCACTGGGGCCCCATTTGCTACCTAAGATGACTTCAGGGCTTCTATATTGTCTTGTCTGGATATCATTCGTAAAGTGATGTTCAACCCAACACGCATTACCCAAATCAGCAATTTTAACGTTAATTACATCTGGAGTGGTCCATTTTGTCGAAGTAGATGGTTTATTCGTTAATTTATCTTGAGTAAGAGGAGAAGAATCTATGGAGGAAGTAGAAGCGTGACACGAAGTAGAATCAACAAGAGAAATGTCATTTAGGTTGCGTTCCAGAATATCTCTGATAATTTAAAGAAAAATATTAATAATAATGGGTAAAATAACATAAAATCATAAAAGTATATTTACACATACGTAGTTATTTCAATTGGACTCTCACACATTTCTGTATCACATACGCTCTCTGCGTCATCCCTATTTATCCCATCTGTCTCGTCATAATTATTTTTGTCAGTTCCAACCCCATTTATTGGCTGTTCGCCATTTTCCTTTGCTGCTCTTTTCTTTAATTTTAATTTTAGCTTTTTTTTCTGATTTTTCGACATACCTTGTGGTGATTTTGTTTGTTCGCTTGTATTATTAGGTTTTTGAGATGAAGGTGACCCAGATGATGGAGGTGATAAAGGTTGACTTCCCGTAATACGTATAGAGTGACCTTTTTTATAAGATGTAGTCGTTGATCTTGTGTCATTTAAAAGTTCATTCTTTACGACTTCCTCTACATTATCGATGCAAACCAATACATTCTCTGGTTTTAAATCAGTATGAATTATACCACATTCTCGATGCATATAATCTAATCCCATGAGTACTTGTTTAGCTATTTGTTTTACTAAATGCGCAGGTATTCCTCGGTGATTATACCGTTTTATAAGGCTTAATAAATTTTCCCCTAATACTTCAAATACCATGCATACGTGAGTACCATTAGGACCACGATGGTAAAAATGATCCAAAAGTTCTACAACATGCTTTCGTCCAGGAGCATTAGGATTTGCATCGACAATTTTTTGTAATAATTTAATTTCATCCAGAGCAGTTTCGGTATAATGTGGAGCTGATTTAACAACTTTTAAAGCGACATGTCGATTTTTACTAAAATATTGTGTCCCAGTTGTTTGATGCAAAAAAAAAATGAAATGAAATGAATGAATTAGATAGAATTGATGGGATTGATAGAGAATTAGACAAAAAAAAAAAAGAAAAAAAAAAAAAAAAAAGATAAATATTTTTTATTATAACATTTGACTAACATTAAAAAATTAATTATTATTATTATAATAAAGAATTAATTAACAAACATACCGAACGTCTCTTGCAAGCCAAACAGTTGAAAAATGACCCCAGCCTAACTTACGTACAACAACATATGCTCCTTCATTGAAAGTATCATCAATTCTAACTGGGTGATAACCTCCTTTACAGTAATCCTCAAGGTCTTCTTCGTCCTCTGTCATAACCTTTTCTGGTTCTTCTTCAACTGAGGAAGAAGTAGCAGAGGAGTTTATATGTTCTTCGTTAGTTTGACGTGTGCGCGCTGGATATGGGTGAGGATGACTATAAATATTTGAAGAAACAACGAATGCAAAATTTTCAAACTTGGATTAAAACTTTGATGCAAAACTATTAATATATAATTAACGTAATAACGTGAAGATTATAAAGGTAGACATACATTTTATTGTTAGAAATGCGGGAAGGAGAGGAGGAAGAAGGAACAGGGGTAGTAAATCCTCTAGTAGGGGTGGTAGGCGTGGTATTAGGGGTTTTTGCACCAGGGTCAGTCCGTTTCCGTCTCTTTTTTTGAGCATTAAGTTGCTTAGTTTTTGGTGCTCCAATTTGTCTTCGTTTATCAGACATTGATCACACACTAAACCCAACGTATTAAAAAAGTTAAGTGTGAAGGAAGTATAATTCCTTGTCTTGATTTGGGGCGTATTGTTGATAACTTTTTAGGTGGCATTTCACGATCTCTTGTTTAATTTTGTAGCAGTGATCGTTTCGATTACAATTAGGGAAACCGTGCCACATTCACATGATAGAATCATTGACGAATTATATTATGTGATTTATTTTGACTTAAATAACCCAAATATGTATAAAATATGTCATCAAAGAGGTACTTTACATGTACATGTACTTTATATTACAATGAATTTCAGTATTAAATTGTTTAATAGTTTAAAATTTGAACTTTTTTTTACTATAAATCATTATTTGGAAAATTATTTAAACTGATTTGTAATCAAATCATCAAATCCCACTTTAACTCTATCCTTGTGTAACATTAAATATATATAAAAAAAATGTAATGACACAATATTTACAAAATAGATATGCATGCAGAATTTTATAAATTTGTTAATTATTTAATTAACAAAGTTTTTTTTTTTTTTTTTTGATTTTTTGATTTATTTAATGTTCATTTAATGTTCTAGTTAATTTTAACATTGATTCAATTTCTTGAGAAGTAGCATTTCCATGCGATGTCCATCTTATTTTACAATTTGAATCAACCAAAAAAACATATCCCCTATAAATATTATTTAATTGAAGGGCTTCTTTTAAACCAAGTAAATTATCATCATTATTAAATATAATAATATATTTACTCTAGAAATATATATATATCATAACAAAAATTTAGCAAATTAATAAAAATAAAAATAAAAATAGTAAAATGTGCAATAATTAAAATAAACATACATGTTGGGATACAGGAATTGTTCTTTTAATATATGGAATTAAAAGTCTTAAAAGTAAAGACTTTGCAAAATTCATCTCAATGTTAACCTATTATAAATATGTAAATAATAATAATATAAATAATAAAAATTAAAAATTAATGCTATAATTATATAAAAAATGAATAAAAATGAATAAAAAATGGGTGACTTGTTAAAGAAACCTGTATGAGTTGTATTTTATCATGATTAAAAAATTCTTGGAGAAATGGATTAATAAAAGTCTTGGTATGATTCTAAAAATATTAAAAATTATTAAAAATTTTATGATCATAAAATTTATAAAAAAAAAAAAAAATGACTCACTTCTCCGAATTGATTAAAAACTATAGAAACCAAAGAAACATGTCCTTCTAACAAATCTGTTGTATCAATTATGGGTCTATTCAATGTTCGTGCTTTAATATTTGGCATGTATAATGCTTTCTAAAAAAGATTTAAATACTTTAAAATACTTTTAACTAATTATTTGAATTATTTAAATTTGTTTAAATTTGTTTAAATTTGTTTAAATTTGTTTAAAATTGGCTCAATTATTTACCTCAGCATTAACCAATTCCGTGTCAGCTTCCCATAATTTTTCACCATTTGCTCTTAATTCATTAAAATCTTTCCAATATGATGTTTTGTACTTTTTTAATCTAAAAAGTTATTATAATTATAAAAATCCTAGATAAAATAATATCAAATAAAATATATCAAATGAAGTAATATTATTACTAATATTTCATACAATTCTTCTCGCTTCTCTTTATTCTTTTCTGCACTAAATATGTTACTAAATCTTTCACTTAATTCCAATTTTTTCGGAGGTATTAGAGATTTGGGTGATTTGGCAACTCCGAGAATTCGTAGTTTCGCGTTCTCGGTTTTTGTCGTAATAATTTCATTATTATGATTATTATGACAAACAGTATTGGTGAAATTGTATTTTTGAGTTAAATCGAATAAATTGTTAAAATTAATAATTTTTTTTTTTTGGAAATTTGCAAAGTATCGTTTACGAGATAACATTTTTTTTTAAAAAAAAACAGTTCTAAGGGATCGTAACGCCACAATAAATTTCGGAGTTTACCTTATTGGTCAGAAATTTTCAAATTGTGGCTTGAGCGTCTCGGATTATATAAATGACAAAAAAAAAAAAAAAATTTTCAAACATGCCATCGGACGAGTATGTAATTTGATTTCTTTATTATACACTATTTTTTCCCATCACCAATTTCTTCTCACATAATTTCTTTGATTAAATAGTACTTCACTCAAACCTAGTTGGGCAGACGAAGTAGATGAATTTGGTAAATTACTTAAAACGCTTAAATATAATTTGAATTTTATTTAATCATAGATTTTTTAAATCCTAATAGATCTACTTCCACTTGAGACCTTTACTGATGAGAATGGTATTAAAACAATTATTGAAATTAAAACAAATGACGATGGAAAAAAAGTGAAAGTAAATATTTAAATATAATAATAGATTAACTTTATTCTTTTTTATAAATCACTTTGTTAAACTTGTTAATTGCTTTAATTTTTTTTTTAATTCAGGTTACTCGAAAAATCAAGAAAACATTAATAACAGAATATGTTAACAAGGCAGCAGCTGAGAGAAAAGTATGAAATTATTAAACGATCTTAACCAAAATAACAAAAATTGACATTATATTAATTATTATTATTATTATTAATTATATTAAATTATAGAAATGGGTTAAATTTGGTGATGAACGTGGTAAAAAAGTTGGTCCAGATCTCAGTACCACAAGCATTGGGGAACAGATATATTTAAAACTTTCGTCCACTGGAAAGGTAATTTCGTAATACTTTGATTTAAATTAATTTTTATTTTATATACTTACTTATTTTTTACTTATTTATTTTTGACAGCAACATACCGAAAATGTGGAAGATCATGATGCAAGCAAAAAGAAACAATTATTGTTAGGAAAAAAAATTCTTTGTCGTATGTGCAAAGGTGACCATTTCACAACAAAATGTCCATACAAAGATACACTTCAACCATTAGAAGAACTTAGTACAGCTCTTCAAGAAACCACAAAAGAAACTCGTAAGTTTGTTTTTTTCTAACAATTCAGACGGAATTTTTCTAGATTCCTCTTTTTCTTATTCTTATTTTTTACACAATAAGAACCATCTACGGAACCAATACAGGCTGATTCTTCTACCGGTGGAAAATATGTTCCACCTGGTATGAGAATTGGTGCAACAAAACCTTCTGGAGATTCTTACAAAGAGAGAAGAGGTTTGTCAAATTATTTTCATGATATATAATAATTTTGTAATTTCGAATCGTTGAAATTGTGAATTCTTACTTTTCTATTATTATTAATTATTTATTAATTAATTATCTAGATGATTCTACTATTCGTGTTACCAATTTATCGGAAGATACAACAGATTCAGATATACACGATCTATTCTGTAGATTTGGTAGTATTTCTCGTATATATCTTGCTCGAGATCGTGAGACCAATGTTTGTAAGGGGTTCGCTTTTGTCAGTTTTGTAATTCGCGATGATGCTTCAAAAGCATTACAAGCTATTAATGGATATGGTTATGATAATTTAATTCTTCGGGTTGAATGGGCTAAGTAAGTAATAAAGAAGAATACAAATAATTTTGAAATTGTGAAATGCTTTTTTATATTTTTTGAAATTATTAATATTCTGGATTCTTTTTTTTTCTAGATCGTCAACTTAAACTTTATTAAATTTTTTTTATTAAATTTTTTATTTAATTTTTAATTTTTAAAAAAAATTTTTTTTTTTTTTTTACATATTCTAAATAAATAAATTTAATTTTCAAAAATAGAGAAAAATTATGACAGAACGGTTCATAATATTCTTTTTTTTTACATGTATATTAATTATATTAATTAAATTAACACATTTAATTATCAAATATTCAAATTTCTCACATTAATAAAAATTGTAATGAAAATTTTTTGGATACAGATACAAATACAATAATAGATGAATAAAGTTAAATAAGTGTTAAATAAGTTAAATTTATTTATCAATTTTTTTCCCTTTACTTTCGCGAAAACTCTCGATTCTCGAGTCCTCTAATAAAAATTCATACCAAAAAGGAATTATATATATAGTACTAGCATGCCACAAAGAATGAGCGTCAAAAATTCCCCACCAAGGAGGGAAATCAAATATTTCCAATGACATAGCCATTAAAAGTAAAATAATTGTCACAATAGGTTTCCAAGCATCATCCGGTCTCTTATGCCAATGTGTTATTGACCATCCAATCCATATAAGATTATTTAACATTCCAACGGAGACATTAGCAATAATATTATATCCATAATCAAACTTGTAGAAATGTAAATACGAGACATGTGCTGTAAAGGCTGATAAACAAATTATTGACCATAAAATTGTGTGTTTTATATTACGTATTTGAAATACGCGTAGAACTGTAATAAATAAACAAAAGAGAATAGTTAAACCGGCAGAAAAATAATCCAATTCCTCGGTGGTAGGAAAGTCCCGTGAATGATATATGGCGGACCATACCCAACTATTTAACCCAATATAAGCGTAAATTATATAAAACTTTTTCATATAATAGAAATCTTGAATTTGTCTAATTTTTGGTATATAGCGATAATGCATATAACCATTCAAAATACTAAATAATACACTAGCAGGTTCTTGCATTCCCCAGAGTCGATAAAATGGCCATTTTCCAAAATATTGAACTGTTTCTTGATATAAACTCTTTGAACGTGTGGTAATTTGATGCATACATTCATATTTGCAGTTATCCTCACAGGACCAAACAAAAATTCGTAAAGTAAAAGGTAAGGTTGGATTGAAAGAACATTTGGAGCTGTAACATTCTGAAACACATTTCTGGAATTCAACGTTATTATCGCCTACCGAAGCCAAAGCTGTCGAGAAGAAGATAAAGAATAATATGAAACATACAAAAAGAATTGAAATGATACCAGGGCTTTTCAGTTGAATCATCGTATGGATGTGGAATTATGTGTAGCTCCAAGAAGTTATTTCATTGTGTCGTACTACGTCAATCACGAGGTTCGTTACAAGTTATTACAAGTTTCTGAACCCGAAAAAGCAAAAACACATTAACAATGACAATAATGACTTTATTTGTCTTTTGATCTATACGTTGTAACTGTGTCAATAACAGATTGTATGCCGATTATGGTCATATGTCAATATATGTAAATTTAAATGTCTATTAAATAGATCTGAAACTTTTACAGCACCTTTTTTGTAGCTTTTTATTATAAATATGTATTTATACTCTATATCTATGTATTTATTCTAATAAAACCTATAATCATAATATAAGATTATTAATTAATGCATTTTAAATCTATGTTTTAAGTTTAAAATCTATATGTTACAAGTTCTATTTATTTTTTATATTATAATTTTAAAAATTTATTTGACATAAAATTTTTTGTTCAGCATGTATAACATTATTGTTGAAACTTCTAAATATTCAATATCACTTTTGTTGTTATTGTTCTCATCACAACACTCTCAATATTGTTCTTGCATTTATGTTTTTTTTTTTTTTGTTTTAAGTTTTAAATGTAATAAATGATATGATATATATTATTAAAAGGTATTGGCCAAGTTTAAAATTATTGCTATAATAATACTATATTTCAAAACTACAACTAAAATACATCATCATATTCTGTAACTTCGAAAATATCTTTTCTAGTGGCTCCGACCAAATAGACCTTTCCAAGTGTCACATTTCGCTGTTGACCATACGTACGGCAAAGAAATGCAATGATACTCACAGCAGTTTATGCTTTATTAGCAATATGAGTATTGACTATTTGAAAGATTGATTCGGATTGGGTTTGGAATTGGGTACCAACAACAGGATCAGTTATTGTAAGTGACTGGCAACCAGGAACTCTAATAATTTCTGATTCAAAATAAAGTTAAAAAATATAATATAAAAAATATGATTTAATTATTTTAAACATACGATTGATGATGTTAGTTTTTGATATCTGGCATTGTTGTAGGCTGGCATCCACCCATTCAATAATAAATAACAATGGATCAAATAATTGGTCTTCTTCGGGCTCATTATAATTTTCTTTAACATCTTCAATCAACTTAATGATGAATTCTTGGGTTTTATTTGTAAACCTATTTAAGGAGTTGGTCATCTTTTGTTTTTCTGATCTACAGGCATTATGAAATATAAGAATAATCAGAATAGATTCTGCTACGAAAACATATAGTCATACCCAAAAATTAACCATAAATGAAAACAACTTAAAAGTCGTAAAAGAATTAAAAATAATTGATGCAAAATCCAGAGAAGAGCGATGAAACTACAGGTTACGAAAATAAATAAGGAAGAAAAAATCACGAAAAGAAAAAGGACTATGCAGAAAAAAATAATTCCTTTTTTCATATTTTCCTTTATAAGACTAAAAGAAATGGAATAATACCTGTCTTTTGGTTTTTATTATAACCATATTTATATACTATAATAAAATTATACTGTTAGCATTACAAAAACTAGAAACATAATGGGTTGGGTTGGGCTCATGTTATAGTGTCAACCTAACCCATCAAGTAATAATTATACCAGGACCCTGAAATATTAAGTTATATATAATGGGTATCAATTTATTTATTTTATTAAATTAGATAATTTTCAGATACTAACTATTACTTGTAATTGCTTTTAGGAAAACTATAAAAATGATATTACAATGATTTAGGACTAGTGTTCGGATGGCGCAGTACCGTTCTATAAAATCTAGATGAGAAAGAAGGATCTACAGAATTGTAATTGGTTAATATTTCATTTATTTATTAGTTTATATGATTTTCAGGTATTTTTAATAGGTTTTTTATTACTTCAATAGAGTTATAATTAATAAATTGGCTGTTTTAAATAATAAATTAGTTATTTTATTAATGATTAATTTTTATTTTATCAAATATGGCTAAAGATTATTATAGTTATTTAAAATGAAATGATGTTATTAATCTTATTTTGGAAAAAAAACAATTAACAATTAAAAAACAATTAAAAATTTCAATAAAATAAAAATAATTTATTATCATAGAATAGATAATAAATGTAATGTGAGTGGTGAATGTATAAAAAAGTCCTTGAAAAGAATATTTTAAAACATTTGTCACTATTCTCTTTTTTTGATAAGAAAATCTTACCAAAAACAATCAAAAATATATCTGGATTTTTATTTCTTCTATCTATTATTACTATATCTATTCATTACTTGCTACTCATTACTCAATTACAAATACAATTATGATTATATGAATAACATCCCACTCACCTTCCTAAAATTAACAGTTCTTTAAATACAAAAAAAAAATATATAATATAAATTATTATTTGTTTGTAAAATACTTGAAATATTGTATTATATTTAAGGGGTAAACCTGTTAAACTAGTATTTCATTAAGAAAAAAGTAATAAAAAAAAAATAATTAAAAAAAAAAATAGTTCCTTAAAAAAATTTTTTTTTAAAATCAAAAATATCTGTGAAACTGATTACTATTTACTATATATATAATTGAACAGAATATATAACTTCAGAATTTGTGGTGAAAGAGATAATTGGTATAGTTAAAATAAAAAAGAACAATTTCAATTAAAGCTCTTAATTGGTTTATTAAATATACAAACAAATATTTTAGTTCAGATTTAGCTCAGTCTTGATTTATTCATTAAAACCAAACTGAAAAATCAAAATCAAAACTGAAAATTTTGATTTATATATTAATTTTGATCATCATAATTTCACCATCTATTTTTATAAAGATCTAAATTTTTTAACTAAATTATTTTTTATATAATTATAACAGCCAAGATTATAAATAATGCTGAATCAAAAAATTCTCAAGAAAATATAAAAAATAATGAATTATCAATTTTAAATATATTAAGAAAAATCAGTAATTGTAATTTAACAGAAGCAAGCAGTAGCAATTTAATAGTAATTGATAATAATAGTGATAATAACAATAATAATAAAAAGCTTCTATCTATCAGTTTTTTACTTTAAATAAAGAAGAAAATAAATACCATTGTAATTATTACATATATATACTTTTAAAATTAATTTTTAATAATTTATAATATAACTTATAAAAATTTATTTTGCAATTTTAAAATTAATTTTAATTAATTTTGTATCTATTTTTATTAATAAATATATAATATTAACTGAATTGTAATGAATAAAATATAATGATAAAAATATTAAAATATAAAAAATATAAGGGTATTACTCACTAGTGATAATTATATTTAAATTAAAAAGAATTAATTCAGTTCAGTTTAAACTGGTTTGATTTCAATTCAGTTTTAGTTTGAGTGTTTAATTCTCGATTTCAAATCAAACTGAACTATTGAGAACTATAATTTCAATACAATCTTTTATCTAAATATAAAAGTATTTATTCTATTCAAAGAAAAAATCAAAACATATACTGATAAATTTGAAAAGAAGTAAGTGATATTTATAACTAGAAAATTCACCATGTTTAAAAGATAATATTCAGTATATATTCTTTGACAAAGTGAAAAAATTAATTTTTTTACTATATTTATTATTTTATTAATTATTTTTTCTTTTTTTAAGATGAATGTAATCTCAATGAAATTAATATCAAAACTAGATTTTTGATACAATGTCAAATATAAAAATTAACGTAATATTGATAGATATAACAATACAGACTATTCAAATTCATGATGATAATTCATTAATTGAATTCTTTATTCAAGAATATATTGATAATCAAGAATCAAAAAATTTCTGATTAGAAGTTCAATATGAAACAAATAATAAATATTTAGTTAACAAAACAAATTTAATCAATATAAATATCAGATCTACAATTGTAATTTTAATTGATACAATTAAATATAAACTATCAGAAACTCACTAGTTAAATATAAAAAAATCACTATATTGAATAATAATTTTTATACTATAGATCAACTAAAAATCAATAAAAATTAATTGTCCTATTGTATTATATATTATAATTAGCAAAAATCATAATTTCTTTTTGATATGATATTTTTTTTTTGTATTAGGGTCAACTTTCATTTAGTACTAAAGATTCTTATTAATAATTCTGCGAGTAACACAAATCTTATGACTTAACCATTCACCTTATGTAATGAACCACACTGGATCAATAAAATATTATTCTTTAAGATTACAAGTTATAACTTTACTATCAGTGATCTAACGAAATATCGTAGTAAACCAATAAATATTATACTAAGATATTATTGTAGAAGAATAATGTTATATTACAAGATTACATCCTATCTAAAGTTTTTCTATTTAGATATCCTTGTAATTAGAAGGTATAAAATTTGAAAATTTATATACTTTCCACCTAACAATGACTAGGTTGTTTGTTATAATTGTTATTATGACTAAGTGCAAGGTATGAAATTTATATCCTTTATTCACCTTTCCTTCATCACTAGCATAACAAATATTTCGAGAATCAAACTTGATCTCTAAATCACTAATTTAAGCACTAGCCATCTTATGTGAACTTATATATTTCAATTTACATAACTAGTTAATAAATGTTTATACGTGATATCTAAAAGAATATAGATGATCTTCTTTTAGATAAAGATACTAGTTAATATCCACCAAGTCTTGGATTATGGAAAAATCATTATCCATACTAATTGTAACTAGTTAGGATCAATCTGTTGACCTTATGACTTAGTTCTGATATACTAGTTACTAAATTATGCAAACCAGAACCTTTCTTTTTGATATAATATATCTTTTATTAAAAATAATATAATTATATTATTTCTACTTAATTTAAATTATGGTCACTTAGATATGTGGTTTATACTTGTATTCAAAATTATTTTAGGATCCCGAAATTATAATTTTAGAAAAAAAAGTTAAAATAGTTTTTCATAAAAAACAAAATTATTTTACTTAAAATTCAAAATTTTTTGATTACCCAGATTTATTTTTTAATTTAATATACACATAACTGGATACTTTTTTTATTTCCACATCAGAAAATTTTAATAGGCAAAATATTCCGAAAATTTTATGAACATTAAAATTCCGTAAATTTATAGGACCTACGAAAATTTTCAAAAATATTACAGAATTTTAACGTTAATATAAATTTACGGAATTTTATCACATAATAAAATTTCGAAAATTTTTGATATAATAAATTTTCGTAATTTATATATATTTTAAAAATCTGCCTATTTTTATTTTTTTTAAAATTT